AGCTCAAAACCGTCCCTTATTACCCCGTTTGATGGTAATTATTATTAGAAAAACTAGATTTTGTCGAGCATAAAGTTACTGGTAATTTCAAAACCTGCCTAGGTGCTAATGTTTGAATATTTCCATGACAGAGAAACTTACCTGAATGTAATATTTCTCGAAGGAATGAAATTTATGACCAAAATCGATTTCAAAATTATGGACTTTGTTAGGACATTTGTTTTCATTCAACCTTTACATCAAATTACTGTCTTTTTCTTCTAAAAATAAAATTTCAACGGGTGCAATGGATGAAATAAACTACAATTAATAGGAAAATTTTTCAATTATTCAAAGCTGTTCACTCTGGATGTTTTTTTATGAAGAAATGTTATCTTGGTATTGATGGTCATGATTCACGAATTCCTTGCACACTGAAAACGCGTCAAAAGATGACAGACACCATGTTAATACTTTCATTTTTTTCATATCCATTTTAAAAGGGGAGCGTCTACCCTAAAATTGAAAATTTCCACATTTTCAGTTATTATACTCATTTTAAAGTTGACATTCTGCCCTATCCAACAGTACCACTGCCATCTCTGTACGTTGATTTGTGATTTTACGACATTTCATGAAAGGAGGGCGGGTGGGGGAGTTCCTTAAGTAATTAGATAGAACTAATTAGCTGCTGAGCTCTTTAAATATAGTGTCTACTTGAGTTATGCTGCAGTTACGTGTTTAGTCTCATCTTAAAGCTGACATTCTGGCCTATCCAACGGTACCACTACTATCTCTGTACGTTGAATTATACGTTCACGACACTTCATGAAATGGGGGCAGAGGGGAGTTCTTTCAGTAATTACATAGGAGCTAATTCGCTGCCTGCACTACAAATACAGCGTTTCTACGAGGTCTGATTCAGTGTGCCTCCGGGCGTTGTACGGAGAGATGTGCATGTAGTCGCTCCCATCATCCTTGAGTGGAATCAAGTTCCAGAAACGTTTAGTTTGGTATCTATGCTACATCTGTCTCTTATACACATCTANCCAGGCCACGATGGATCGCCGCCTCTGATTATCGTTCATCCGCCCTCATTTGGGCCACCTGATGCACGATGCTGTTGCTTGCTTCTCGCCGCTGGTAGTGTTGCAGGGGAGGACGATCTGGGATTGTGCCCAGGAAAACGTCCAGTTGTCTCTTGATGGTCTCCAGGGTCTCTTAGATCCTTTGGTAGGGCGTTGAACAGCCTTGGCCCTGCCACGGAAAGTGATCCTTCCCGCAGGGATTGAAATCTAACTGCGGATCTGTTACGTAGTGGGGGGATCTTGCACAGTCTCCCCCTTCTCTCGTGGGAATATGTCATAATTCCGAAGGTCTCGCTCTCGAAGTTTGGCACCATTCCGGTTATCATTTTCCATGTGTACAGAATGTACAGAATGACATGCCCCTCCCGTCTCCTCTGCAGTGAGTACAAACCCAGGCGCCTAAACCTCTCCCAGTAGTTCATCTCTTCCATCCCTCTGGTCCTGGAAGCGAAGGTTCGCTGGACAGTGTGGACACCTTCCAGTTGCCGCACTGCGCCGAGTGTGATCGGGGTCCAGAGCTGGCAGCAGTATTCAAGAATTGGAAAGAGTGTAATCATCGGTTCCGCTTCACTTGTTCTGAACGTTCGCCAGATCCACCCCACTTGTCGCCTACCACCTGCGATTATTAGGAATTATAGGAACTCTGCAAACATGTTCGACGCGAAGTCGATCTGAACACAAAATAAGATAATTAGCCGAGTCTTTCGAAGCTCATTCAGAAAAACCCGATTCGTCGTAAAATTGAATTTGTAATGGTTAGGTCAACAAGGCGATGAATGAACGAAATTTTTTTATATAACTTTGAACTCATCAATAAATCAGAACCTTCAATAAAATTTTAATAAAGCAATACAAGAAATAGTTAGTCAAATCACTGCATAATATGTCACTGCACTATCACTCCTGACACCTTTACAAAAGTGTCAGGAGTGACAAATCTTCGGAGCAGTTACAGTTTGGCTGATTATGTTTTCTTTGAACTTCTGGAATTGATTTGTAAATCAAGTCTGATTCTAAATTTTATTGTTCCGACTTTTGTACCCCATATATTTTATTCTCTATCGATGTTGTACCTCTTCAATTAAAAGCTAATTTATTGAATGTCACTAAACAAATTAAATTTAAATTATTTTGTTAGGACTCACCGTCTCGGGAGTGAGTTTTACAGCGTTGGTGTCGTCGACGAACGGGGAATCCTCTGAGAAAAGCGTTTCCAGTTCAGGGATGAGGTCGAAAGCGATGCTGGTCAACGACCTGGCTGATGTAGGCATCAGCGTCTGCATCAGCTGCAACGGAATGAGTCCAATAATGTGTGCATTTTTTATCAGTAAAGAGAGCAGAATATTTATTGTAAATTAAATTCGAAGCACCTGAAACGCATAAATTAAAAGTGTGTTGCAAGAACAAATACTGATTACAAATTGTTTCAATGTTAATCCGAAGGGTTCTTTGGAAAATGCAAGTCTTCTTCCGAACTCGATTCAGAAACTCCAATTATTTTATGCACAATGATTAGAACTATAAACCGGTAGCCGATTCCCAACACGGCAATGATTATCGCAGTATGTTCACTTAATTTGTTGAGAATATTTGTACCTATGAGTTATTCACGACTGAAAACTTGTTTCTATACTTAATATTTATCCGATTGAGAGCGCTATAAATTATTTAGAATATTAATTCATTGTCAATTGGCTTCCATGCATGCTAAGTTTTCAATTGGGCTATAATGACTTTCATTTTTCATTGGTTCGTTACTACAACAAATTGGTCGAATCGATAGCTTCATTTGGCAGAATCAATCTCTCATTAAATTTGGGTTCATTCGTGAATTAATGCACACTCATTCAAGTCGTTCTGGAATGACAATCGCAAATCGATGACATCCATCAACGGCCCACATCCATTCGGGCAAAGATGAAGGGTTCGTCGATAGCAGTTCAGCTGTCGAGTCAGAAAACTATTAATTATAATAAGACGAGAACGAATGAATGATGTATTGCAAGTTATATGCAAAAGCCACGGTGCCTTAATTATGAATAATGCAATATCTAGACTTCTTATGGAAGCCTAAATTCTTTGATGTCCACGTACAAAATGTCCTTAGGCTCACACATATTCATGTTTATCGAGGAGAAGGACCAGGCCATTCTGGCTGTGTATTTCTGAACAAGTATAAAATTAAAATAGAATTTGGGTGTATCTATGGAATAAAGGGACATTAATTTGGCACAGAAAATAAAGAGTGAGGTAGCTTCACTTCAAATTCTTTTAACAGTTTTAAATTTCAATTATTCATGAAATAAATAAGTCATATTTTTACGCTATTCTCCGTCTTACCCAAGGGAGTGAAAACCAAATAGCACCCACTGAATAAGGAAGAAATTGTTTTAATAGTTAATTCTACAAAGGCGTACGGTGTCTTATTAGTGGTTTTTATTAATCGACATCATCTAAAAATGTCGAGGAAATGTGATGACCGTAGCCGGGCTACGCTCCTTTCATCGCTTGTGCATCAAATTATTATTCACTCCATATTTTCGTGTGCGTTGTCTTCCATCCATGCAGGTAGGTGCTTGGTTCTGACAGTGATTTTAAATATTAGGGATTGTAAGTAGGCACCATGTGTAGCTCGGATAAATTTATATGAAGGATCCATACTGGGCATGTAATTTTATGAAATGCTTTATCAAGAGATTTGAATCCCTGCCCTGATTGTCGGTTCTGCCATGAATTGCTGGCCTGATACTGTATCGGTAGCATATGCTGCTATTAAGTCTTGTGATACAATGAGTAACAGAATTTTTATTGTACTTTTTATATCTCAGTCACATTAATTTTCATGAGCTTCTATTTCCTCTTGTCCAAATAAAGCATAAATGTTTATGCCTTTCAGGAAAGTTCACCAAAGTTTATTATCTACAAGATGATATTTGGCAGCCACCGCGCACTGACGTCTTCCTGAGGCATAATTTCTCCACAAGACAAGTGCGGTTTACAAGAGTAGAGATCGAGTCTTATTCGATTTAGTATTTAAAATTAGGTTTCTAATTTCATTTGACCAATGATCATATACGTATATTTCTGAAAGAAACCCTAGGGGAATGAGATTCAAATTCAGTCTGAAAGAAACCCTCCCGGAACGAGATTTAAATTCAGCCTGAAAGAAACCCTAGCGGAATGAGATTCAAATTCAGCGAGCACGTTGGCATTGGTTTCACCGGAACGTGTTGCAATAATAGGCAATATTTTCTCGCTGCACCAGTAAAATGCATGCTGTATGCAAATGTAGGAATGAAGCCAAAGGTTCCATATTCTAGAATTACATCTTTTTCAACTCGTCATTCAAAATACTTATGGTTTACCCTGAACAAGTATATATCATAACATGAGGTTTTGCAGTTAAATAGGTTAGATTACAATCCCTCAGTCCCCTGTAATTGGCAAATATCTCTGTTAAATTAAGCACGACACTATATTCTTCGGTAGGATAATGTTTTGATGATGAAATAAAAGGTTGTCTATATAAAGCATTAATTAATTTATTACACAACTGCGTTATGAATTAGATCGCAACAATTATATTCCCGATTCAGCACCTAATCACTGAACAGGATTTTTTCACAATTTAATCGTCTCACGATGGAATATATAGGATGTTCCCAATTTACTGGAGGACTTCACAATATGTTACTGGGTCCGACTACAGCAGCTGAATTCTGTCGTCATCCACGTATCTTACGCCACATCGGACGACACGGACAACGCCTTAACTCTATGCGAGTATTTCGTTTACGGAATGAATTTATACGCGAATCTTTGTGAAAATTTATGTTGTTTGAAGTTGGTTAGCCATTGAAACGCCGACTTCTAAGAGACTTTATATTAATCCATTGGTGCTTTCTGTTATTACAGTTCAAACACGGAACTTTCATGCCTACAACTATAACCAACTTGGAGATCAACGGTACCTGCTCACAGCTACCATAGAAATCCATTCTTGGATCAACTACTGCTTCATTTTTAGTGATGAATATGGTTTCAAAGTGTATCTTAATGGAATCCTCACTTACACAGATGAAGAGCCAAAAAGTTTTCTCAAAGGTTTGCCTCTTAATGGGACTTTAATAATCGGGCAAGAGCAGGATGCTCTCTCAGGCTCATTTTCGAAAAGCGAAATCTTACGAGGAAGGATAGCACAAGTCAATATTTGGAGTCGCCTGCTAAATCAAACTGAAATAATATCATTTAGTGACTGTCGTACTTACCTCAATTTCGGCTACCCTGAACCTGATGGTGGTAAGAACGAGAACTGCGCCGGTCTTTTCGTTCGAAATCCTACTTGGTATGACTGGGCGTGTGATGATCGCCGAGTGTCGTGCGCTGTATGCCAAAGAGTGCCAGGCAGGTTCATGCGACTACGTGGATTATGCTTTGCATCAGCGGAAGAATCTATATTTGAACTCTCGGGATACGTTAATAAGGAAGCATATTTCTTCGGTTATTGTGGTTGGATTATACATCGAATGGAAGCAAATCATGAATGGCTTATTTATGATGCAGTTCTGGGCCAGTCAGTTGCGCTAGTCCAAGTTTCTAATAAGAAAAAATTTCCAATCGGCAGGAACAAGTGGGTTCTGTTACGGAACCAATGTGGTTTTGTGAAAGGAACTTCGATTTTGTTGAGTCTTTCGTCATGCTCCGATGACGAATTTTCGTGCGACTCTGGTCAATGCTTGCCGTTCAAATTCGCCTGCAATGGAGTGTCGGACTGTCGTGACGGTTCAGACGAATTTTCTTGCAATGTTGTCCTACGTGCGCAGGACGAGAACTCAGTAGTCAGACCACCTAGCCTTGAAAAAATAACTTCGATTCCAACTTACATTAAAACCTCAGTCGAAGTACAGCGTTTAACTAACATTAATCCTTCCGATAGCTACATTGAACTAGAAATGGTTTTGCACTTTACCTGGGATGATTTTCGCCTAACATTTAGAAATCTCCAAGATCAAATTGAATTCAATAGACTGACTTCAGAAGAAGAAGCTTACGTATGGAAACCAACACTAATCTTCTATTCAGCTTACAATGGGGAAGTTTCTGTTCTCTCATCTGAAGTCCATGTCAGTAAACTGGGAACTGGAATGCTGTCGGATTTCAACTCGGTTGAAAGAGGTCAGTTGCAGAATTTAATTATTTTCAAACAAGTCCGGGAAAATTACTTTACCTCGTAGATCAAAAAGCTATGCAGTAAAATTTATTAATTTTTTCATTTCATGTGTTTTTGGCTATGTCATACAAATAGACACTGAAATAGAAAATTTACTGATATTTCGTTGTGTCACAGCTTCGCTGTTCAACCGAGGATCAGGACTACTGGTCAATACCCAACATGTTAGGTGAGCAAATCAAAAGCCTTACAATATACAAATCATACATGCATTGAAAACAATTAAACTTAAAGTTCACCCAGCCTTCCTGCTCTACGTATACGAGTACATAATTGATTTACACCGGTGCTGCTTACGTATTTGAAAAGTAGGTAAAAATATTCTATAAAAAAGCCACATAATTTACTCCTTTAGATTAGGATAAATTCACCGTTAGAATAGTTTGGTAAGTACACTGAATTGATCAAATTCACTTAATAAGGGAAAAAAGCTCGTATTACACACCATATTCGCAATTGAAAATAAATTTCAATTTACTTCTTTTAGTTTTGAAAGTATGTCTCACAATTTACTCGTCTGATTAGCGGGAAGTTTGCGTGTGTGTTCGACGTGTTCCGGTACCCGTTCGACGCGCACCGTTGCGAGCTGCTGGTGCGACTCGGCTTCTCGTCTGAGCGACTCGTGACGTTCACAAACGACAGACTCTCGCTTGTTTACACCGGCGCTAACAAACTGAAAGAATTCAACGTTCAGAACATGACAGCAATTGCATCAAGCGTGAATTTTAGGAACTCTTCAAACACCGAGCTAAAGGTGAAGAAAATTATTGGCAATCACAGGCTATCCAATTGATTTTAAAATCATCACTGGTTCCAGGATTATAAAATGTTCGACATGTAAGTTATAGACAGGGTCCACTGTAAGTCCGTGCATTGTGCCGCTGTCATGGTATAATCATATCAGTAATCACCAAAATAACTAAAGAAAGGCAGATCGTATAAATTATTAAAATATGTTCTGTACTTAAATTTGGTGTCTCTGCTGAATAGAACTCAAGCTATTGTAACTTTCATCTATCAACTCTTAGCTGTTGAACACGTAAACATAAGAACTAACACAATTTTACCCACTAATGCTACAAAATATTATCTCACTACTAATATTGTGGATATGTTCGCTATAATTTATTATAATCTGTAACTTCGCAGCTAACTATCAGTTTATCAGTCAAATTTTATTTCTCACCCACATTTAGAATAGAATAGAAGTGTCGGCGTTGAAGAAATAGGCCCATGGCCTGTTGCCGATTCTTGAACTTTTCGTGACTTGATTCACAAGGGATCCGGCCTTTGGAACCAACGTCGAACGGGTACCGGAACACGTCGAACACACACGAAAACTTCCCGCTAATTAGACAAGAAAAAAAGTAATTTGTGAGTCTTATTTTCAGTAGTAAAGAAGCAAATTAAAATTTGCTCTCAATCACAAGAAAGATGAATAATTTTTTTTCATTGATGCAGCGAGTTTAAGTGAAGCTAGCTTAATAAAATGTTTTAATTAGTCTTAATCTGTGAACATAGTAATACGATTACATTGGTCTCAATTTGTGTGGGCAACGAAAATCACAGAACCACCCTTTGCAATGCTATGAGTAAGTCTTCTCAGGTTAAGAACTTTCATACCTTACGTGCTTCTGGATTACTAAGTAAGCTGCCGCCCCTGCATATTCAAAATCTGAAAAATAATTATATTACATGGTGAATTAAAATTGAAAGGAACTGGAATTTCGTACATAATTTCAATTGAAATTTTCCAGGGCGTATAAAAATCAGTCTTTGTCTAATTTCTCCTCGAGTTTTCCAAGAAGATTTTCAGAATTCATTTCGTCATGTCGTGAAATTAATTTTACAAGGATCATTTGGGCTGAATTATCTGTTATATGACAGGGTCTTGAACTATAACCTATATATAACTATAACCTATACCTATATATAGGCACTATATTTCCCTCGCCCGACTTACTCGTGTGGATGGAGTTGAAGTCGTCCTGCATGCGAGTGCCGTTTTTTAAAACGTGTAACTCTTCTCTGATCGTGTTTATTAATCCCCTATAGACTGAAGGAAAAACGAGCGTTGGCGTCCAAATCCGATCCAAGTCACTTATCGGCAACTCGTTGTCTTCAATCTTGTCGCCTAAATTGTAATACGTGAGACGTCGGTCCCGCCATTTCATTTCAATTTTGGCCTCCAAGTTTATCAAGTTCCGGATGTCGTCCACTTCCAGGAACCGCAACACATCGACATGAACAGACATGGAAATTGGACCAGTATTACCGAATTCTTTTTCGGGCGGGCGAATAATTTTGTAGCCTTCAGGTACTCCAAGAATGTTGCAACTGTTTTCGTCGGATAAGTCTACACAGTCGGAAACACCGTCACACAGCTGGCTACGAGGGATACAGTCTGCATTCTTGCACGCGTATTCTTCTCGGTTGCATGGACTGATAACTAACGGAACAAGTGAACCCTCGCGGTGGTTACAAGTTTTTGATTTTAACGTCCACATCTTCCTACCGATGGGATAATTTTCGTCGGATGAAAGATGTATTTCTGCAATAACTTTCTGCAAATTGGAATCGAAAATGTGCCATTCGCTCGTACCTAGCATGTTGTGGATGTTGATTCCATAGTATCCACGGATAAAAATGGATTCATTAACATATCCTTTCAGATCCATGAAAGTCTCCGCTTCAGAGTTGAAGCACAAGCCACGAATTCTTAGAGGTCGATACGTCACACATGGAGCGCAATACGGCCAAATTTCTTCGCAATTGTAATCTATAAAAGCAGGCACTTTCCTGGACATGACGGCGCAGTTTTCACCTCGACCGCCATTCGGTTCACCAACCAGAAAAAAGTTTTCTTTCATGGTCTCTCCACTTGCAATCGTGCTCCAATTTCCTTCTTCTTTCTCATCAGTAATGCCGACAATAACATTAGTGATGAATTTGCAGACGCAATTTGGATCGGTTATGTAATCGTAGAGTTTGGTCACAGCTTCTTTGGTATTTGGTGCGTGCAAGGAACCCCCAAAAGCGCGGCACAAACGTACCGACTCCTGAAAGGTGTTCGGACCGTCTAGCAACCAGTAGTCGTCTTCGTCGGCGCAGAACTCCGTCATCGAGACGTGGTTTTCTGAGACATTAAACTTTTTTACGGCGTTCTTCTGAAGAGAAAACATATTCCCGTTCCCAATCGAACGACATTCGCTCATTTCCATGATCTTCTGTTGGTCAATGGTGTAATTCCAGATGTTAAGGAGAGCGATTTTCCCTCGGAAGCTTTCTTGAGCATTAAAACCTCCACCCAGGAGATCTTGTTCTTGACCCATAATGAATGTCCCATTTAAAGGCATTCGTTGTGAAGCTTGGTCAATTTTTGTGTCTAAAATTTTGACTCCATCCCTCCAGGCCGTATACTCACCACCGTTCAGTAGGTGGCAGAAGCATGACCACGAGTTCAAACGAAGATGGTCGAAACCTTTAGGAACCGCTACATACCGCAGTGAATTGTAGTACGTTATGTATTCCGTATCCGTCATCACTGAAAATAAAAGTGTCGCCCTCTTTGATTTAAGTTGAATGACTATAACTTTTCGGTTTATTCATTCAGTGCATTAAACTGAGCCATCAAACTTGTATCTTATCTTATATCTATCAAACTTATACTGAGCCAATCAAAGTTATAAAAATTCGTATCTTTGTGATTCCCTCTAGAGACTTTAATTATCCTAGAATTTATCCACCAACCTCAACTTTTTTAGTTTATTTAGTTTATTCATTTCATTCAATATTCAATGCAACTGTATGTAATGAGCCAAATTGGTAGATGATGCCAATTTATGTTTAACTTACAGAAAGTCAAAGCATTGTGATCCTCTCTTGAGGTGGCGTATGAAAAGTGGATAACATAGCCCGTTAGTAGCGTGAAGGAGGCCCAGTAGCAAATAGATAAATTCTCGACAGTCGCACCGTTTTCCTAGATTGTGGATGAAGTTTATATTTAAAATTCAGTAATATGCCGAAGTACGGAAATTCAAGTTGAGAGGTTTTATTTTTACACTGATCGAAATTTTTTAACGTTATCAAATGATGAATCCTTTTTATCCTATTTCTAACGAAATAAAGCTAATTTTATTTATCCTATCACAATGTATTATATATATTCCTCTATATTAAATTACATGGTTGCCCCAATATATTAATTAGCAAAATATTCTAAAAAATATGAAGTTTTGCTTATTTTTATATTGATATAAAATGGAAGAGGTAAAAGGAACTAAATTCCCCATTCAATATACTGAACTTTATACCCATTCCCATCCCTTATTCGGAAAACTTATTAAAGTATTTATTCAATCTTTTTATATTTCTGACAATTTAGAATTTATTCGGATGATAATTATATATAGTATATAATATATAAAATATATAAATTTCATCGGAGTGTGATATAATAAAGGACAATAGCCGTGCGAATCGCAATAATGGATCAGGGCCTATACTTTCAAAAAAAGTTAAGAGATCGTAAGTTCATCAGCCAATCATTGACGGCATTTCAAGCAAAATCCACCAATCATAGACAAGAAAATAGAGCGTAAGTACTTACGTTCACTTAGCGAGTTTGGTAAGTATGGCCCCTGGATAGTAGCAAATCTAACTAACAAATTTGCTTCGCTGCATGATTGTTTTTTTTCGTGAACGAAAAGATATCCTGGTACGATAATTCCGGATGAACAAATTGTTGCCCATTGTTTGCCACACCCACCGCGATGTCCGAGAAATTGATGCTGATGAAAGTTTCAGCATTAGCTGCTCTCCAAATATCTTCTTGGAAACTCAGCACCCTGACGAATCGCTCATCTTGCGCGCGAAGAACTGAAACTGTTATCAAATTTAGAGTTCAGTTCTGGCTGTTGAAATTATCTCACAGTTTATATGACATTTTCAGCTGTATGTCTAGAACAGTAGGTTTTAAATAACCAACTAACATGGAAGTTAAAAGCAAAGAAATTGCCACGTAATGATATTATAGGGGCATTTTCTTGACATCTTCGTTGCTTTTAAATTCTCATAACATTAAAGAGATAATTTTGTTTATCAATGTGAGTGTTTAAATAATTGGTTCTACTCAACAATCTCATCGTGAAATGAAATTAACATCAAGATTGTTAATTTCATGTCTTTGAGCTTCGTACGCAAGGTATTCTGTATGAAAATTGAATTCTAGAATTGTGTTTGCAATACCAAAATATTTACAATTTCACATCAAAATTCATCATGATCATAATTCCGATTATTATTTTGTTATTCAAATAATTTTTTATTACAAGACCCACATTTGGTTTCAGCTGAATAATTTAAATTTATTATTTTTTTTAATTTTGCACTTACCTGTGCTCATAACCATCAACATTCCTGCCAAGATTGGTTTTAGCTTCATTTAAAATTTTTAAAATGACGCTAAATGTACACAGCAGTTTTGTTCGCTTTGAGACGTGGTTAGTTTACTATATGAATAATTAAATTATTTTATTTCTGCCTTCCAAGAAAACTTACGACTTCCTTTCCCTTAGTTGAAGCATGGCGCACTGGTCTTTGCGTTGCCCCTGCATATAGCCTTTATAGCTATTAGTCTCTATTCATAACTATATAGATATCCTTTGGTATATTCTATGGCCATAACAAAAGTAACAATTGTCAACTTGATGAATTACGTCACATTGTCAACTTAATAAATGACGATCGCACTATTGACAGCCTCTTTCAGAAGTAGATGAGATTAATGATCAAGATTGTGTTGTGTGAAAAAAATAAATTGGCCAATAACTTGTAGATGATTGATGATAATCATCGTCGATGTCAGTACATTAATCTTTCAAAATGCGGTTGATTGATCTTGCTTCATGGACTGCACCTCTCACTTCATTGTAAAAGTTTTCGACGCCGATGAATTAAGTGGATCAAAGTATTATATTAATTAGCGTCTGACGTTATTGAATATTATTCAACATGAGTAAATTTTGTCTAGCAAGAAGTTATTGCCAATTCCATCAATTGCTTTGTTGGTGATGTTGCAATACGTCCAAGACGTGTCTCAATCGGAAAATTAATCAGAAAGAATAAAATTTTTAATCAAAGTCGATTTCAAAGATTCAAATTTTATTAGGAACACGCATTTCTGTGTCGATTATTACATGTTTGAATGCCACTATTTTCTTTTAATATTAGTATTGAAAAGCGCGCACTGGACGAAAGAAAACTTTCAGCCATGGGAACATATTTGAATTATTTTGGGCTATTTACTCTGTATGTTCCGTTTTCATGTAGAAGTATCATTCCGGTTTAATCGTGCAGTTGTCAGTGATTTATTTTAAGAATACATCATACTAATTTTTCGGTCTATGGTCATGTTACACAAATTTCTGGTATACTGAAGTTACTTTTTAAGATCGCAATCCAGTGTAATTATTTCCATTATTCCCATTCGTATTTAATGACATAAAAAGTGTCATTGGTAATTGGTATGGCACTGGAGGGCATTTAACATTGGGTATGGCAATATTACATGACATGTTTTTTCAACTAAAGCTAACGATGATTCGAAAAAATTCACGATTTTTTTTCTCGTACAATTGCATCTGGGGGTAACAATTTTTTCAATGATGAGTTTCTGAAGACTTTGTAGTATGTATCCTGAGACAAGAAACAGATATGTAATGCCATGTGCTTATTACCTAGCAAATCCTGTGGCATAAAAGTAACCTCCTCCTGGTAATGCGTAGTAAACTGATCCATCTGAAGGTAATTGACCTGGCTCGGCAGCGGGGTTACCAGGTATAGAAGGAAATTTGAAGTCGAATGAGTTCACCACAGCGCTAGGTGCTTGTGCAGCGAAAGTTGTTACCGCAGGTGCCGATGATTTCTGGAGAGGTTCTGCTAATATATTCTGAGAATAAGTTTCTGCTTCGAAAACAGGTATTTGTTGAACCGCTGATTTCGTTGGTTCAACGGGAGTTCCAATCAGTTTCGTGTTCCCTGCCACATTTTCAGCAGCTTTTGTGATTTGATCTGCAGCCTGCCTTAGGGCGGTTGACGCCGTACTGCGAGCTTCTTCTACCACTGTATTTGTGAAGTCCGTCAAGGTTGGTTCAACACTGGGGTCCACTCGTGGCCTTGTAGCGAAGGCTCCAATAAGTCGTATGATTCTCGGCATAACCTTGCCTATTTTGTCGAACTGAGAATCCACGGCAGGATCCAAAGATCTTTGCTGGGCCACAGCCTGCTGTTTCATCGCCTCCCGCACTGCCGGAAGGAACTCTGCAAACATGTTCGATGCGAAGTCGATCTGAACACAAAATAGTTTAATTAGCTGGACCTTTAGAAACTCATTCAAAAAATCCCGAGTCGTCGTAAAATTGAAATATCGTAAAATTTAAATAAAGAAATTCTCTCAATTTACTACAAAGTCAAACACATCAGAACCTGCGATAAAACATAATAAAGCACAACCTGCGATAAAATCATAATAAAGCACAGCAAGAAATATTTAGTCAAATCTCTGCATAATTTGAACACCATTACTGAAGTGTCAGAAGTGACGACTCTACGGAGCTGTTACAGTTTGGCTGACGATATTTCTTTGATCTTCGAGAATTAATTCATGAACCTAGTCTGATTTCAAATTTTACTAAACCGATTTTTACACCCCATATATTTTATTCTCTATCGATGTTGTACCTCTTTAATTAATCGCTGATTTATTGAATGTCTCTAAACAAATTAATTTTAAATTATTTTGTTAGGACTCACCGTCTCGGGAGTGAGTTTTACAGCGTTAGAGTCGTCGACGAACGGGGAATCCTCTGAGAAAAGCGTTTCCAGTTCAGGGATGAGGTCGAGTGCGATGCTGGTCAACGACCTGGCTGATGCAGGCATCAGCGTCTGCATCAGCTGCAACGGAATTAGTCCAATAATACGTGCATTTTTTATCAGTAAAGGGAGTAGAATATTCATCATAAACTAAATTCGAAGAACCTGAAACTCGGAAATTATAAAATTTGTTGCAATTACAAGTAAGGAATACAAATTTTCAGTGTTATTCCGAAAGTTTTTTTTTTTGAAAATGCAAGTCTTTCTCAGAACTTGTTTCAGAAACTCCCAATATTTTATGCCAGTGAGTGCACCAACCTGAATGGCGCGATTAACTACGCATATTTACCGTAAATAATAGCCATATGTTTGCCGTGTTCATATTAATCAATGTTCAAGTAATCATAATACCCACGGTTAAAAGTCATTGAATCATCTTATTTAAAAAAGACTGTCTGTTCAAATCGTTTTTCAACCAGTAACACTCAGCTAAATTTGAGATTTTTTATTCCCATGGCAAATTTTCCTGTTAATATATTTTTGACGTTCTGATACTGACGTTCCTGCATGAGTTTTTTGCCATACATGCCAATCGGAGCTGACATTTTGTGCTGCATTATGCAGTCTCAAGTCAATCCTAAGCTGACGGCAAAATTTCCATATCGAACTTTTCTGAAAAAATATCTATATATATTTGGCACCATGTGTTGGGTCCGCGCGTGATAATATCTCAATAATTTCAACTTTATTATCTTCGTATGACGGTACACTTTACTTCAGGTGTGAAAGGCATCAAGGTTTATCCAGGTTATTATTATGGGTGTTTGTGATGTTTAGCTTATCTCCAATGAAGTGAGTATGTTTGTCGGAATTTTTTATGAAGTTTAAAATGTAGTTCATATGTGTTTTCTCTGTGACTGTTATTACAAATTTGAACCTGTCTGGTTCCACTGAAATATCTACTTCTACTCGAACACACTATAGAATGTGGGCAGAAGGTCAAACATGTTTCTCAAGATCAACAGCGTGTTCTAATCTTTGACTGGCAGCTACATTGACTGTATTAAAATATTTTGCACTAAAATTTTTTATTATTATATTTTATTTTTATTGTCAAACATATGAAATAAATGGCACCTTAACCACTGAATCTCAACGCCAGAATTGAATTGAAATCTTAAGCTACACAATATCAAATATATGTTAATATGTGATACAAGGTTAAGATTTTTTTACTGGGTTAGGACTGTTTGTATCGATTCTTAATCTTATCACAGTTTATTGTTTGAATTTAGGAACGAAGAGAGATCATATCGACTGCTTGATTGTCATTATTTAATCACGTCACGCGGCCGGAGGGAAATTTCGCGATGGACAAGTCAGTACATATAACGGTCGATCAATTTAATTTTGTTTGGCGCATTTGAGCCAAACGTAAACGTTTCCAACGTATAATTGATGGATTATTTATTCTAGCCCATTATTATTCCTTCTTGCCTGCAGAACTTATGTGTTGTACATCTTAACATATTGAATATATTGTAATTAGCATGTTTATAGTTTTCTTGATCATAAATCGTCTAAGTAGTCAAGACAAAATAAAAAGATGAATAAAGTTACAAACACTAGAAAATCAAACGCGTGTTGTATTATCACTCATATATCTAAAATGCGCCTGAAATTTTCAAAAGATACGGACAATAAAGGCCGTAATAAAGGCCGCTACTTCTTAAACCAAAATAAACGAATTCGTTTGGAGAATAGGAGTCGCAAAGTTCAGCATTGTGAGAGTAAAGCTAATTTAAAATTGTTTCTTTCTCTTTCAAATAATATCAAGATTGCATCGATCAATTGCATCGTGAACACAAGTCTTTAAACAACTTAAAAGCCCTTACGCCAAAGAAGTACGAAACTTACTATCACAAATATTATACGTCACTCATCAGCTTAATTACAACAAATAAAGCCATTATTAATCATATTATCCCAAATGTCCCATTCACCAGCCCCATCATCACACATATTAAGCCCTCACCAGCCCCATCATCACACATATTAAGCCCTCACCAGCCCCATCATCACAAATATTAATCCCTCATCAGCCCCATCATAGATGTCGATGGCTCGGAGGATAGCAAGTCACTGGGCGCCGACGATCTCCTTGATGCCTTTTGTTCCCAGCAAACTTGTTTTTTTTTTCTACAAAAGATTACATGAAAAAACTCGCAGGTTCTTATTTCTAGACAACTTTACCCATCTTAATTGCGTGATGCAGCAATGGCTTTGATATTGTGTTTGTGGTAAGATTTTTTAGAGTGAGGGGACAGAATTATTGTCTGTGGTCGTATTCAAATGTGTAAGCAGACCGTGCAATGACTTGCATAACTTTTTTTTGCATTATAAAGGCTCTAGCGTGTAAATAAATGTAATAAACTGAATTTGTGTGAATACTTAATCTAAAATTGCGCTGTCGCTTAGTAAGTTTTGTAGACTGCGTAATATTTATATAATAACGATAAGAATAATAATATTGATAAAAATGATAATAACAATAATTACAAGAATAATAATAATTATAGTAATAATAATAATATTAATAATGGTAATAATATTATAATATCTGTGCAAAATCATAATCGCGAGTGTTTAAAAACAAACTTGCAAATAATTTTTCATAAAAATTTGCTCATAGGTTTAGTGAATTTCGCTTTTAATTAGATATTAAAAATTCGAGTATCGATCATAACAAATCAGATATTGAAAGGATATTCAAGTCAGACTAAATTTCTGTTCAAGTTAAACATCAACTTTAGTGAAATGCTTTAGAACTCGATATTTTCAAACTCTAGTGGAAAAATCCTCCTTCTAAAATATTTTGATAAAATATTCCATAATTATCTATTTCATTTCAATCCGTGATAAGATAAATGAAGAACTGAACATGAACTTCTATCGATATCAAAATCGTAGAAGTTGATCAATTTAACGTTGGTGCTATGTTGCCAACGTGTCATTTCAGCGTGTTCGCTCTACGCAACTGATTAATTCACTTCTAATTTTCACGACGATATTTAATCTAACACGACTTCGTACTTAAGAGGACAAAAGTTATTGCGTGCTGTTGCGCGGTTGTCTCATTCGAGTTATCTAACGCTCAAGGTGACTTGAAAAGACTGTTTTTTTTAGCATTGCTATTTGTGGCGCTAAAAGCTGCTCGGATCCCGAACCCAAAAAGGCCAGCCCATCCGGACCGGTCTTATTTAAATCTGTTTCTTTTTTACTGAATTACTCCATGATTAGGAATCACTGTTGCAGGGAAAAAATAAAAAATACTTATTTATTAATTATGGCAGAAATTGAAGCACCGGCCTAATTCATTTTTTTTCGTTGACCAAAATTTCAGCGCCAGAAATTCGACGGTGCTCAATTTTCTGTTGAAATAGTTAAAAAGTATAATTTATTTTTAATTCTAAAGAGTTCAACCATATAACTGGCGCCAACTAATTGATGCCACTTCGTAACTTTGTTGCGCAACTTCATCGTAAGTGTATGCGACAACCAAGGATAGTTTTTTTTTTCTCTCAGCCCTGGCGGAATGAACAGGTTTGGTGCGACCTTCGCTAGCTGTCATGCTGGGCAGTGGGCGCGGCCCTATACGTAGCCTGGATACGACTCGTGAGCAAGCTCCTCGTGCTTAACTCACTGGCATTTTGTACATTTCAATTGAAATGAACAATTAGTATGGTTATATGTTAGTAGCTCCTGTGAAAAAAACCTATACAAAAAAAAAATCCAGAAGAAAATCTAGAGATAAAAGATAAAAATATTTGCAAGTATTTATTATTAAAATAAATATTGAAATTATCCATTATGGCAATTTATCACATTACACTACAAATTTTGGTGCATAGTTTTCTATGTAAAAGCTGTGGTCTGTGAATGGCTGACAGCCGCTGACACTGCATGAGCATTATAATTTCTGCTTCTCTTGTGTAGTTGACTAGAATACGCTACGCTGACTTGGGTATTATACTTTTTGCAGGACTACAATACCCTGTAATACCCAATACCCTTAAGGTATCTACAATTTCAGGAGTCTTGTAGAATGATATAGTTGTATGAGTATTCGCTGTATTAATGCGCTGTATTTACACCCAAGACAGAGGTATATTTTTAGGTGTTTGTGCGAGTATTTTCTACCTTATACATGTATGTGTCTATAGCTGCAAGAGTCTTTTAGAAGGATATAGTTGAATGAGTATTCGCTGTATTAATGCGCTGTATTTACACCAAAGACAGCGGTGTATTTTTAGGTGTTTATGCGAGTATTTTCTGCCTTATATGTGTCTATAGCTGCAAGAGTCTTTTATAAGGATATAGTTGTATCAGTATTCGCTGTATTAATGCGCTGTATTTACACCCAAGACAGCGGTGTATTTTTAGATGTTTGTGCGAGTATTTATACCTTATATGTGTCTATAGCTACTATAGAGTATTCACTGTATTGGGTGTGTCTCCCGACACAGGAATGTTCTGTCTTGGGTGTGTCTACCTACAGGATTATAGTAACACCCAAACACGATTACGGCACTCACTCTGGCTGTAGAACTGACTGACAACTGATGTGATCTTGGTATAAGCAATCACCGTTTGCAGTCCGTAAGAATGACTCCTTGGAGTTATAAATTATATATATACAGAGCGCAATAGATTGAATTATTTACTATATACGATGAAATTATAAAGAGAAACTTGAATCATCACATCTCTAATATGAATGACCTTTTATTTTAAAAACAACGGGAAGTTTTATGTGGGGATGTGTTCTAAGCAAAATTATAAAATTTAATTAGTCAAATAAATTCATAACGGATTTAAGTCCTAGAATTGCTCTATTTCAAATTCTTGCAATGATTATGGATTGCCTTTGCCCTGAATAAGTTTGCAACGATGTGCAGGGCAATAGAAAGAGCAATGGAATTTTGTTAAAGCTCCTCGACAGTTTACTTATAATTAATTGTGTTTATTCTAAAGCCTCTTGTTAGAAACTAATATTGATTTCGTGTTAAATATTCAGCTGTATACTTGAGTCTCGTATTCGCTGCTACTCCTACAACCTGAACGTGATATTCGTATAGCTCCGTTAAATACACATTATACACCTGTTAATTTATTACACCTCTTAATTTCAGTCGCATATTTTTTTGCAACTTCGGTGACTCAATCCAGGCGTATATTCCTGCTTCATAATAACGGTTATTTTCCGTTATATCAAAGCTTTTTTATTAAGTGTTTTGACTGCAACTAATGTTTATAATAATCATAAATTTGTATAATTTTATATATAATCATAAAATTGGGTATAATTTGCCTAGTAATTCATCATACACAATTTCTCGGTTATTATCTTCCATCATGTACCACCTAGAAATATTAAAAGGTTTTCTTAATAATTTCTCACTTCAAGGTTCAAAGTCTCTATTAAACGATAAATATTACAGATAGAACTGATTCATTATACATTAAGGAACGATTAAAGATCATTGTTATCATTGATCGATCATTAAAGCATGTAATTAATTAACAAGTACACTTATAGAAGGTGTGACGAAATCAATTTTTCGAAATTTTCAGCAAGATTGTATTGTTTTATACCTAGTCTGCAAATAACGCGCCTGGCAATATCAAAAAAATTTTTACAAATGGCCTTAACTTGATTTAGATATAATAAAAATAAAAAAATGTGGCATTCGATTTAAACTTTATAAGTTCGAGTTGTTAGCGTAAAGTAAGAATTGGTGTTAAAAATACCAAACAATGAATTCAATTTAAAATATGATGTACCATTAGTTTAAACTGGTTGCTAGACTAACAACAATGTATAACATAATCTTAAAATTATGTCTAGTAATGTCCCACTTTCGAATATAGAGTCGTTATATGATCAATAAAAATCGCTTTGTTGTCAATAAACATGTACCTTAAATGGATGTCATCAGAACACAATAATTTTATATCGTAAATGAATATTATTTATAATGTCTGGAATAATTTTTTATGTGCTATTTTAAAGAACATTCCCGAACTTTCAGTTGTTTCGAAAGTTACGAAGTAATTTATATACAAAAGTAAAGTTAGAAATTTGTAATCTTGCCCACCAAGAGGAACTGTTAACTTTTTTTAGTTATTGCCGATAAAAAATTGTTTGTCGATGCAACCTGGTGCTTTTGACGTACATTTGAATAACCCGCCTCAATGTAGCTCATGTGAATACATGAGCAACAAGAATCTTGTTTGTTTCAATGCTGAAACGAACAAGAAAGTCAGGAAACAAACAAAACAGTTAACTGTTGAAAAATATAACTCAGTACTCACTGCACTGAATGACAGAGAGCGCATTTTCTCAAAATCGACGAAAACGTGAAGTCACGGACAGACGGACGGACTGACGGACGGACGGACGAACATGACGAACACAATAGGGCATTATTTCCATAAATGAGAAAATGCGCTAAAAAGACGTCAAGACATTTAAATTAAATAAAAAAACCTGGATATTGAAGCAAAACTGATCAAGAATGTGGAATAAATGATAGTATTATGCTAATATGATGTTATAATAACGACATAATATGGAGAATTATAATGAATCATCGTATGAGTGAGCCTTTTTATGTAGTCAGCGGCAAAATGTTTTAGCCATCCACGACCGTGCAAGGTACTGAAATATTAATGAATTTATTTTTCGAAATATTATTATTTTTTTAATTATATTATTAAGTTGCTATATGTCATTACCCACAACTTGGCGAGATTGTTTCAGTTATTGCTGCACGTGTTAAAACTTTTATTATCAATATAAGTATATAATTGGATCGTCATAGTTAAACAATTTATTAATTTGCAACAGCCGTTTTTGATTTTGCACCAAAACTTTTATTTAATCCATAGTTCAACTCTGATTGCATGGCAACATTTTCTCAACATGCCCTGTCGAGCACAAATGGCCTTGAAAGCCTGGAATTAAAAGGTGTAATACCAGTTTTTTGGCAGAACCGAGAGCCTGCCTTTATAATCTTTACTTTAGATAACATTAATTGACAAGACATTTATAAGCATTAACGTGCACTATTTTCTGGGGAACAATGCATAATGGCGACAAAATGCATGATTTGAATCTAATTTTATAATAGGGCATACAAAAATTTGCTTTATAGACGTCCAAATTGTAACAGACAAATGCTAATGTGGATAATTTGTAAAATATGGCCGTGAGAGATGGATCAGAGATAACTTGCCTGCTAGACTGTCTGAGAACCTGTATTTTTTACAATGGTTCTTAGATAATACCGTGCTAAGAGATCTTTATTCAATTAGTCGTTATGTCTTGACTTTAGCTAACCTTGAAACCTTGCCAGTTTAGGAATGTGCGCATTTGAATACTATAGATCTTAAATATTTTTTTGATGACTGTAGTTACATTCAGGTTATAATTGAAGGCAATAACTACAATAAATAACTATTTTGCATGATTTTGTTCAATGCTAGCAAGTACTTGTTAATGTTAGAGTGATTGCGTGAATTTTATTCCTTGTATATTATTCGTTTCTATGGACAAAATCTTTGAAACTCATCCTTGCTTTTCTTGCAAAACGAGCTAAAATTATCTAGAAATTTGACATTTTCCTTCTTCACACGGGACCTTAATTGACTATGATGACTTATCAGCGAGCAGAAGATGAGTAAAAAAAGATCAGCAGAGACGAGTTATATGGGAACAGAGACGAGTTATAAGAGAGCAGAGACGAGTTATATGAGAGCAGAGACAAGTTATAAGAGAGCAGAGACGAGTTATAAGAGAACAGAGGCGAGCTATAAGAGAGCAGAGACGAGTTATAAGATAGCAGAGATAAGTTCTAAGAGAGCAGAGACGAGTTATAAGAGAACAGAGACAAGTTATAAGAGAGCAGAGACGAGTTATAAGAGAGCAGAGACAAGTTATAAGAGAACAGAGGCGAGCTATAAGAGAGCAGAGACGAGTTATAAGATAGCAGAGATAAGTTATAAGAGAGCAGAGACGAGTTATAAGAGAACAGAGACAAGTTATAAGAGAACAGAGACGAGTTATAAGAGAGCAGAGACAAGTTATAAGAGAACAAGTTAGAAGAGAGCAGAGAGGGCATTGCTCTGGGATACACGTTTGACCAGTTGGGCGACGACTCTAAACTTGGGATGTTCTTTGCTTTCGAGCAGCTTGAAGAGAACGTTCTCACATGTGCAGATGAAGCAGCCGATCTGTGATAGACGCTGTAAAGCACAAAAAATATAACTCAGTACTCAGTGCAGTGAGTAGCAGAGAGCGCATTTTCTTGTCGACGAAAACTTGAGGTTACGGACGGACGGACGGACAGACGGACGGACAGACGGACAGACAGACGGACATAGCGAGCACAATAGTGCATTTATTCCATAAATGAGAAAATGGGCTAAAAATTGTCAATTTTATTTATTATTATCAACAACTTATTATTGAGCGCGCAGTTGCAGCGTTCAATTTGTGTAAATACAAAGTTGGCGACATCATTTTAGATGTTTAGTTTCGTTGAGGTAGCAATTAGTAAATAAATAAATAGAATTATGGCAGGTTAATTAATCTTAATTTGGTTGTTATGAAATTATGGTGAATGTATTTGCAATGGGGCATTTGTTAATATTGTTCTTTATTTCGTTTGTTTATATTCTCTTCGAAACTCTGAATTTGGTCCCACGGAGTTCCTATCTTAATGGTCTGATAGAGCACATATCTGCAGCTAATTAGGCTGGGTCTGCAGCCTTCAGCAAAAAACTGGCATCACTTCCAATTATTCTTAACTTAAGATATTGCATGCAATTTAAATGCAAAGTACTCCATTGGCCAAATAATATGTTATCGAAAAAATTGTGTAAGGTGTAATCGGAGAGCAAATAAGAGTAATACAATAAACTATCATATTGTGGATTCGACGTGAATTGACAATTTTTATCTATACCATCGAATGCTGTAGTCCAAATTTGTAACCAATCGACTTTTTTGCGGATTAGTCTCGAAAAAATAAGGAGCCAGTTTCCCTGCGCAGTCTCCTTGCCTGTTGCGCCAGCGTCGCAAGTGTACAGGACAACGTATATTTTGAAGGAAAGTTGAACTATGAATCTTGATGTGTTACTTGACCATTATCACTTGATCAAAATTTGGCTCTGCTTGATATGAAACGTTAGAATCGTTTTTCAGAAATTAGATATGTTATATATGCTGTAGGTGTCTTTTTATTGTTGCGAATTCGATAATTAAAGATAGCTTTCATCAAGATTATATTACAATTTGTGTTCATTAAAATAAATCTATTAAATCCTGGATCGCAACATAAAAATCTTGTCCATTTTATATTTCACATTAAAACATTGTTTGCAGCACCCATGTATCGAAAGTATTCACAATACCGATAATACATTGAATACAGTTAATTAGCCCTTCTGACCTGAAAATTTTTTTCACACGCTCAATTTAATTTTGTATCATTCTAACTATAATTAAAATAATTTATCAATGAAATAAATAATTTTTAATAATTGTTGTTTGCAGTGCAGCCGTTTCACCTGCATGGCGATATTGCAGTCAAACAGGGAGCCCGTGGTGCCGAAATCGGCAACAATATATCACCACACATCGAATCATTCATCACATCCCATTTAAAATAATGTATCAATGAAGTGTTAGTTATAAGATAAATGTATGGACCCAGTGCAGCGGTCCCACCTGCAGAGCAAGGTTACGGTCGTCTATAGAGCGCGTGGTGCAGCAGTCTGCCACGATGTGCACTTGGATGCCGCGCGATAGTAGATCGATGGCCGTCTGTTCGATCTCAATGTGTGTCTGCTCGTCCAATTAAACATAACATAACATAAAATAACATAACATAACATAACATAACATAACATAAAATAGTGATCTCGGCGCTGAAATGTAGGCCTGATGTGGCCTGTCGCCAATTCTTTTCCTTTTCGTGCCTTGTTCACAGAAGATCTAAAATCATGTCACTTGACCGGATCTTTTCATGACTGACGAAACGATCATATCGCAGAGATGCTTCGGGTTCTAACGGCGCAACGGTCAAATTATTATGTATGCATGGAAAGGTATTTTGAGAAATTTAATTCCGATAATTATAAAAATTTAATCGAGAAATTTAATTCCAATAATTAGAAAAAATTAATTGAGAAATTTGATTCATTTTTACAAGTCACGAAAAGTACATGAGTCGGCGACAGGCCACATCAGACCTATTCTTCAGCGCAAACATCACTATGATATGATATATGATATTGATATATGTGTTTCTGACAAGGTTCCATATCTTCGTTTCGTATTGTTCTTTGAAAAGTGTATGAAAGGTTTTGATATCCACATTATATTCTGGCACATTTAATTATTTTATTATAAATAGAATAATTATGACTGAATATGTGCAAAACTCATAGATTTAATCAATTTAAAATTGAATTAGATATATAATACTTTTATATTCACATCACGAATTTCAACATATTACTCTTGATTCTCTGAAAGTGAGTAAATTCATTATTTTAACGGGTCTCACATGTCATTACAAATCCCGCGTCAATCTCATCATCTCATACCTCCATCCCACAAAGTATGACGCTGGCCAAGCTACCGTCACAAAGGGTCTCGAGATGCTGTTCCATCTCTGGCACAATCATGCTGAACTTGAATTTCGAGACCACGGCCACGGCCTCGTACGTCTCGATCTCTTTGACCGTGCGGCCCAGCACCGCGGGGGACTGTTCGCTCACCACGTACGGCACCTGCATGTGAATGCAGCCCTGCACCTGCAGGTACAACCTGGGATTAAGTTTCAGGAAATGCTGAAATATGTAGATGCATTTTTAAATATCTACGTTGCACTGAATGTAGAGTTTTGACCTTGAGCTTGCACCAGCATATTAATAGGTTTAAAACAAATCATAATTTTACAAATGAGATAGAAAACACAAGTGAATTGTTGCATATAAAATATTGTTCACTACATTGTTGGAGATATAGGGATGATGAATGTTCTATCATCAGTGTGATATACAAATGATAAAATTGAATAAAAGAATGACAGGACCAGATTAAGACATAGTAAAATTACGAGTTTCTTAGTATTTGCGACGACTTCTGGGAATCGATGCATGACGTCTTTGTATTTTTCTTGTATATCACACAGGAACAAGGCAGTCCTCTTCTTGTCCAAAGCTCCGAGCTCAACACGTGAAGGCGGGAAATTTTCTGCCATTTCTGGTAATTCCTAATATATTGAACTCGTTGAAAGAAAAATCAAGCGCTGAATCAATTGACTGGAAATAAAAACTCAAATAATTAGACGCACTTGAAATTCACATACTGCACTGAACGATCATAGAATAACAGATATATTCCGTTTAGAATACATCAAAGTATTAAAAATCAGTGACGCATATTATTAACTATCAATTCAAGTCGCTACTGCACTTAATTCACAGATTATATTTGCAGTTTGGTACAACGACGCAATATAAGTAAGAAATTTATATTTTTGTGTATGAGGGATATATCACTTATCAACGCATATACATTTAATTAAATTGCTCTTTTCTATATTGCTTTGCAAAATATTTTTTAGCAGGATCAGGAGACCTCGAAATCAATAATTGCACTGTTTGATGTACATGCATTTCAATGCATAGACAAAAAATATAAACGTATGGCGCTTATTCCTGAAGTTTCTCATGTTCCTTCATGATGACAACAAATTTCATTGATTAAAACTAAATTCACTTGGCATCAACTGATTAATTCAACTTCAAATCGGAGTTTCATGGAACAATTTCCTCCTGAGCATTAAAATGTTTTACTGTTAGCTTCAAATCACCTACCGCTTTATATGTTTGATATGTTTCTCTTCGCGACGAGCCGTTTCCATGTAAGCTAATTTGGCGCGATTTCATTAACAATTTTTATTATGCATTGAAAAAATTGCTTTTTGATATATTTTACGGTAGGAAATATAGTTTATTTGCCAAAAAGCTTTTCTCCCATTTTCTCCGGCTTAGATGGAATTATCTATAAATGCATATCAGGTATACTCAACTCTTCAAAAAAGAGTAAATCCGACGCAATTTGTTAGAGTTTTAAAGCTAAATTTGATAAATAATCATGCATAAAAATGAATCATTTTATTAAAATAATTTATTTAGATCGAAACATGGATTTATCGCCAAGTTACTATCAGGTAATTACATTATTCATTTCATTTTATCGAACTTCTAGAAATTTCTAGTAATAAATTAATTGATTTATTTTATTACGAAACAATGCATTTCTTGTTGATTAGATTAGGGTTTTTTCAGTCTGTTACTATCTGACAATTGTTACTTGAGATTGATTGCGTCAGATCCTAACGTTGTTAAATCGCAATCCACAGAGCCTGCGCAACAAACTGCCTGTGAAATCTGTCCGGTTCTACGAAAGGCTACTTAGTGTATATTAATTGTCTTATTTATGCTCTATTGTTTCGTGAATGGGTAGTAGTTGATAGTGCGTTCTCAAAATGGCTTTAGCCGAGCAAAATTTAGCATCGCTGGTGAGTATCTTGAGTTTTTAAATTCATCGTTTGGTTCGAAATGAATCCTGTTAGCTAGGTAAGTACCTAATACAAAAGCGAATGGATCACGATTTTTTATTTGTATTTAGGTTGAATCAAACGTTGCTCATTTCATTGATTTCGGTGGTCACTAATCACTATTACCAAGGTTTTAGTAACGAATTTCATACTTCTAGATAGCCTATTCTCAATGAAAAAAGCCCTCGTTGAAAAAATGAAAGCAAAATTCTTGAAAACATTTAGCTTGCTTTTACACTAAATTTAGCTATTTGCTAGCTTGGACTTTTGGTCTAAAACTGATCGGAATGAAATTTGAATATATACATATTTAATAAAATGCTTAAGATAAATTAGCAATTTCATTTTGAAGTTATCATGGCAGGTAGGAAACTAGAAATAGAAAGTATGAAGATAATTCCACCATTTCCACTAAAGACTTAAGTACAAAATACAAATACCTAGGCTAGTACCTAAGTGGTGCGGTAATGCAGTTGATAGTGACAGCCCCTGTACTGTTGTTACAACTTACTGTACAGGATTGGAATTTTCCTTCTTACTAAAATCATGTGGCTCCAATTCTCCAAACCTATATATTTTAATACCTACATTTCGAATCTGGAGTCCCAATTGTGATTTTTTGTCAACAATTTGATTCCACTGTGCAGAGAGTGGATGAATATTAAAAGATCTTTGGCGACGCTTCAGTAGCCAAATTTATGCCTTCAGAAGATCTTGCCGACACATTTAGATTGAAATTCTTGCATTTAATCAATTTTTCAGTCATCGGCCAACTATTTAAAAAAAATAAGGTTTCCGGTATGTTGGATGGATCAGGATGCAGTGAAGCTTGTCCGGAAATCAGTTGCGATGAGTTCCCACCAAAAAATGTAAACATCAAGTTTACGATTACGTAGTTGCGGTCACATTAGAGCGGTCAGACTGCATTATCACAACTGAAAACATTATTGAATATTATAATATGATTCTGCGATGACTTCAATTGGATTTTATGTTTCAGAACACAAGTTCAGTTGACACTTGCTGTAGGATCGGACTGTTTTTAGGATAAAATTAGTAATTTGGGGTAACACGTGCATGCAACCTTGTAAATAACATTGTGTCTTGTAAATAGTTTTTCATTACTCAGTTTAATTGGCTTTTTATTAAAAATTACCCGATGACGCATCTTAAAATACCCGGCGACGCTTAGGGCTTAAAAACCCATATATTGGCGACCCTCTGCACCATGGATTTGATTGAAGGTAATTTATCTAGTAAAAATATTGCAGTTTCAGGGCATGCTGTAAAGTAGAGCTTTTTTAGCTTGATATTGGCCTCTTTTGAGGATTTTCATCACAGGCATGGAATATATCTAATTCAGTAATTGGCAAGCCTGGCCACGACTGAATTTTTTGAGCCGTACGTAGATCAAGGGTAGGTCGCAAAATTTTTTTCCGCGTTAATCAAAACCGCGGTATTCAAAACCGTGCTAATCAAGGGATTGCTGTAGGCCTACCTAGCTAGGCTAGTAAGTGGTGTGGCAATGCGGTTGACAGTGACAGCCCCTGTACTGTTGTTACAACTTACTGACAGCCTGACAGGATTGGAATTTTCCTTCTTCTTACTAAAATCTTGTGGCTCCAACTCTCCAAACCTATATTTTCATACATTTTGAATCTGGAGTCCCAATTGTGATTTTTTGTCAACAATTTGATTGAAGGTAATTTATCTAGTGGAAATATTGCAGTTTCAGGGCATGCTGTAAACTGCAGGGCTGGAAAAATCCAATTTTTGTCTGAAATATCGCAGCTCTAATATCATATAATTTCAGTAGGTATGTATTCTCGTGGCTCAAATGTCATAAATTTTTGTTTGATTGAAAAATTGCGGTTTGCAATTTGCAAACGTGTCACTTCATAAAATTTTCAACTTTCGCAATCCGCATTACTTTCCCATTCCCACCAAAATATCCTGCAGAAAAAACATAAACATTGTAATGTAAACAAATCAACTAAACGTTTTGTTGAAGATCGCGCATAGTTGCGGTCATGTCAAAAAGTACCAAGATTGGAGCTGAGAAATGCGGGTTCTCTGTGCGCCAGTTTCTGGTCAGAATCGGCAAGGAGGCCGGGCGGTTAAGCAAAGAAAATTTGGAGCAGCGAATTGCGAGTTCACACCTGCAACAAGCTGTGGATGTTCTGCAATGTTAAGAATCGGCGACAGGCCTACTGCCTAATAAACGCTGAAGCAGCTATATTATTATATTATTACATATATCTGCAAGCGTATACACTGTATTAGATGTGTCTCCCTACACATGAATTGTCTGTCTTGGGTGTGTCTCACTACAGGATAATATTACAACACCCAAACACGAGTTACGGCCCTCACTCTGGCTGTAAGACTGATCATCTCTGACAATTGAACCGATCTTGGTGTCAACAATCATCATTGGCAGTCCGTGTGAAAAATCATCATTTGCAGTTCGTATGACTGAATCCTTAGAGTTATAAATTATATACATAACACTATATGCATAATATAATGTGTAGAGTTCAAATATTTTTTGAGTTATCGAAATAAAAGGGCTATCCTTTCAAGTACAGTGCAAGAGTATTGATCATAGAGAGCCTTTATCTAGCCTTACGTGCACGATTTTAACATTTTTATTATTAAATCCTTTGGTTCTAATCGAATTATTCCAGTGATTATTTTGTTGATAGGATATAGAACGGAAATACGAAATAATCTAGAATATTATATTATGTAATTGGATTAATTGAGCAGGCAATATATTGCTTCTCTTCCCAAAGTTTGAATTTCAGGCATCACTTACACTGATAAAATTATGAAGAGACACTTGATCCACTTCATCTCGAATATATATGTCCTTTTATGTTGTGTGAAAAATAACTAGAAGTTTTATGTCCGGATGTATTCTAGGCGAAATTATCAATTTAATTAGTCAAATAAATTCATAACGAATATAAGTTCTAAAATTGTACTACTTTAAAATCCATGCAATGATTATTGATTGCCTTTGCCCTGATTAAGTTTGCAATAATGTAAATGTATAGTACAATAGGAAGAACAACGGAATTTTGTTAGAGCTCCTCGAAAGCCTATTTATAATTTAACTAGTTTATGTGTTTATGGCCCCTGGAAAGAAACTAATTTTGATTTCGTGGTAAAAATTCAAGCAGCTGTATACATATATCTCGTATTCGCTACTACGCAGACAACCTGGGGCCTTACTTTCAAAACTCCCTAATTGAACGTAAGTACTTACGCTCTATTTTCAACTCTATGATTAGTGGATTTGGCTTCAAAGGCCGCCAGTGATTGGCTGATGAACTTACGATATCTTAACGTTTTTTGAAAGTATAGGCCCTGAACGAGATATTCGTAGCTACGATAAATGCTTTTTACCTGTCAATTTCAGTCGCGTATTTTTGGCAACTTAGGTGACTAATCCGCGGTACACTCCTGCTTCCCAATAACGCAGAATTTTCGTTATTTCAAATCTTGTTGTAAAATCTTTTGACAATCTTTTGACTGTTTTCACTGTTCTGAAATAATGAATTTTCATTATATATATATAATCATAAATTGGGTATAAGTTGCCTAGGAATACATCATACGCTATTTCGCGGTTATTTTTTTCTTTCATGTACCACCTCGTAATTAATATTCTAAGGTTTTCTTAATATTTCTTACTTCAAGGTTCGAAGTCTCTATAAAACAATAAATAAAATTAATAGAACTGATATATTACCATTACACATTATGCAATATTTATTTGATATTGTCTGAAAATCTGATATTGATTGAAGTTGAATATTATTTTTTGTATGATAATCCCAAAGATCATTGTTATCATTGATCGATTATTGACGTATGTAAGTATTTAACAAAAAGTCTGTAAATAAAGCGCCTGACAAGATCAAAATTTTACAAACTGCCTCAACTTGATTTCGATAGAAATAAAATGTGGCATTTCGATTTACACTTTTCAAAATTCGAGTTATTAAATCGTGCAGTAGTAGTTGGAGTTAAAATATCAAACAGTACATTCAATTTAAAATCTGATGTATCATAGGTGTATTTACAACAATGTAGAACATAATCTCATAATTCTGTCGAGTCTTGTCTCATTTCCGAAAAATAGAGTCATTATACGATCAAGAAAAAATCGCTGTACGTATTCTCGATAAACTTGCACCGTAAGTGAATGTCATCAGAACGCAATAATTTAATATCGTAAATAAATATTATTTAGAATGTCTGGAATAATTCTCTTCTATGTTATTTTCAAGAACCTTACCGAACTTGCAGTTGTTTCGTAAGTTACAAAGTAATTTATATGCAATGGTAACGTTAGAAATTTGTTAACTTGCACACCATGCAAGAGGGACTGTGGAATTTTTTTCTGTTATTGTCGAATAGAAATTATTTATCAAGGCAGCCTGGTGCTTTTCACGTACATTTAGATGACCCGACTTAATGTTGCTCATGTGAATATATGAGCAACAAAAAATTTTTTAATACCGAAACAAACATGAAACTCAGGAAACAAATAAACTAGTCAACTGTTAAAAAACATCAAAGCATTAAATTCAAGAAAAAATCTGGACATAGAAACAAAACTGATCAAGAAAATGGAAAAATGGAAGAATTATGTTAATTTGGTCTTATAGTAACGATATTTTGTGCGCAATTACCATGAATTATCGTATGAGTGAGCCTTTTTATTAAATGAGCGGCAAAATGTTTTGCCATCCACGAACATTATTAAAAAACATTATTAAATAATATGAAAACATTATTAATATTTTTAAAATATGTTGATCAGTTGCTATATGTCATCACCCACAACTTGGCGAGATTGTTTGAGTATAATTGCTGCATGTGTTAAAACTTTTATTATCAATGCGTAAGTATATAATTGGATCGTCATAGTTAAACAATTTAAAGAGACAAGTTATAAGAGAGCAGAGACGAGTTATAAGAGAGCAGAGACGAGTTATAAGAGAGCAGAGACAAGTTAGAAGATAACAGAGACAAGTTATAAGAGAGCAGAGACAAGTTAGAAGAGAGCAGAGACAACTTAGAAGATAGCAGAGACGAGTTATAAGGGAGCAGAGACAAGTTAGAAGAGAGCAGAGACGAGTTATAAGAGAGCAGAGACAAGTTATAAGAGAGCAGAAACAAGTTATAGGAGAGCAAAGACAAGTTAGAAGAGAGCAGAGACAAGTTGTAAGAGAGCAGAGACACGTTAGAAGAGAGCAGAGACAAGTTAAAAGAGAGCAGAGACAAGTTAGAAAAGAGCAGAGACAAGTTAGAAGAGAGCAGAGACGAGTTAGAAGAGAGCAGAGACGAGTTATAAGAGAGCATAAACAAGTTAGAAGAGAGCAGAGAAGTTAGAAGGTAGCAGAGGCAAGTTAGAAGAGAGCAGAGACGAGTTATAAGGGAGCGGAGACAAGTTAGAAGAGAGCAGAGTCGAGTTATAAGAGAGCAGAGACAAGTTAGAAGAGAGCATAAACAAGTTATAGGAGAGCAGTGACAAGCTAGAAGAGAGCAAAGACTAGTTGTAAGAGAGCAGAGACAAGTTAGAAGAGAGCAGAGACAAGTTAGAAGAGAGCAGAGACAAGTTAGAAAAGAGCAGAGACAAGTTAGAAGAGAGCAGAGACGAGTTATAAGAGAGCATAAACAAGTTAGAAGGGAGCAGAGAAGTTAGAAGGTAGCAGAGGCAAGTTAGAAGAGAGCAGAGACGAGTTATAAGGGAGCAGAGACAAGGTAGAAGAGAGCATATACAAGTTAGGAGAGAGCAGAGACGAGTTATAAGAGAGCAGAGACAAGTTAGATGAGAGCAGAGACATGTTAGAAGAGAGCAGAGACATGTTAGAAGAGAGCAGAGACAAGTTATAAGGGAGCAGAGACAAGTTATAAGGGAGCAGAGACAAGTTAGAAGAGAGCAGAGAGGGCATTGCTCTGGGATACACGTTTGACCAGTTGGGCGACGACGCGAAACTTGGGATGTTCTTTGCTCTCGAGCAGCACGACAAATTAGGCAAAAAACATGAAAAAATGTACGTCTGGACGCGTATCAATTGGTATTTATAATTTGAAACAAATTTCCATCATTTAAATGTCAGTATGGAATGTGGATCAAGTCTAATTATTGTGAAATCGAACTTGACATAACTAAAAGCTATGCCTGTGACGCCGCCATGTCAGATATGATCGTGGAAACACGATGTGAATGTATGCCTTGGAAAAGTCGAAGTTTATCTCATACTTTTGTGTGATATCGAAAACTTTGTTGGTAATGTCCAATCGTGAGAATTTTTTACGATTCTGGATGTGTTTTTTTTTTATTTTAGAACGTATGCATTGCAAAAATTTGTCTACTACCCTACAGATAGACGACTAGTTGACTTGATTGAGGCATTGCCAACACAGGCTTGGATGTCAAACCACGCGCGATTTCGGAAGCGCAGAAGTTCTTAATGAGCTCAGTTTACCAATTTTCATTGCAGTGGAAGGTGGTGTAACTGTAATGCGGTGGTAGGGTTGGTTTTTCGATACGTTTTCTTATATTGACATGAGAATATATTACCTATACAGAATTCCACACTGCACATGCTCATCTTACAGTAAAGACAAATTTTATCTTTGCTATTTGACTGTTTAGGGTAAAATTAGAGATTTGGGGTAACATGTGCAATTGTGCATGAACTTTGTGAATAAATTCGCACCTTGTAAATGGCTTTTCATGGCCCAGATATGGAATTAATGGCTTGGTGAAATGGAATCACGGCTGGCAAATCCATAAAACCACAGCTTGAAAAATTCAGTCGCGGCTCACCAAGTAGATATATTCCATGCCTGCTGTAAAGTAGAGCTTTTTTAGCTCGATATTGGCCTCTTTTGAGGATTTTCATCACAGGCATGGAATATATCTAATTCAGTAATTGGCAAGCCTGGCCACGACTGAATTTTTTGAGCCGTTGTTTTATGGATTTGCCAGCGATGATTCCATTTCTTTGAGCTGTGATTTAATTTTTTAGAGCTGTGAATTCCATACCTACCTAATACCTTGGCCATTAACAAGCCGGTTGCCACAAACTTTTTACCAAGTCCCATGCATGTGATACCCCTAATATCTAATTTTACTCTAATAACTGTTGAACACTAACATTTGTCTTCACTTGAGTGGCAACTGATCATGTGATGATGCAGTCTGACCGCTCTGATGTGACGCAACTATGCAATCTTTAAGAAAACGTTTTAGATTGACTTGTTATTACGTTGTGCAGGATATTTTGGCGGAATCCTCAAAGTATTGCAGATTGCGGAAGTTGAAAATTTTATGAAATGGCATGTTTGCAGAATGCAAACCAAGATTTTTTCAATAAAAAAAAATACATGACATTAGAGCTACGAGATTTCATACCTACTGAAATTATATGATAATAGAGCTGCAATATTTCAGAAAAAAATTAGGACTTTTCCTGTCCTGCTTCATCAGCCACCTTGACCTTACATTGGCGTAGAGTTGAGATTGCTGTCTTCAGCTACAAGAACTTCTTTAAATTAAAATGGTTGCCTGCAGTACAGGAAACAGGACAAGCACAATTATGTTAATGCAACCTTATTTCCTATTGTAATTTTCCTATGCATAGTGGTAAATTTTTCTAGAATCAGTTCAATTTTAATTTCTTCATTTACTCGAGATTTAAATAAAAATCCTATGCATGATAATGCTGGTATTCATAATACTTTGCTGGTGTATTTATAGGACTCAAATCGTGCTTGAGGAAGAGTCCAAACAATTCTCAGCTTTGCCACCATGTAACCTAACCTAACCTATAACTCTAGGACCTTGGTTTAGTTTCTAGTTATTTTAGTTCTAGTGTAGGCTTACATAATTAAGATTAAGGGACAAACTATGAGAAAAAGCCTTAGGATCTTCAATTGGTGGCAGCAAATGAATAAGGAACAAGATTGTGTTATTTGTGATTGCTTCTCTGCTAAAATTTTGAATACTTGCATGTAAAGAGCCCTTGTTGAATACTTTTCACATTTGTATTCACTTCTTAGTTCAGTCCAACAAAGGTATTATAGCCTTTGGATGCACTTGCTTGTTGCTGCAAAGCTAGCTGTAATGCTCTTATTCTGATGAGCAAACCAGCTTCTAATTGTATCTGTTGTTATGATGTGAATACTTGGTTCTCTATCTTATCATTTGGGTGGTCCTCAACAATGGGGGCCAACAACTATCCGAAAATTACCATACTACCCTCAAATCAGGACCACTGGTCTGTTGGAAGATGCACCCTGGATTTGAAAACTCAGGAGTAACTGGCATTTGAGGCTCTTGGCATAGCTAGCCCTCAAGTCATTTGACCAGTTGTTGCTGTGATGGCAAATAGCTTAATTGTTTCTGCATATGTAGGCCATCCTCTTCTTTTTTCTCTCCAACCTTTACCCAAGCATGATGCATTTTCAATTTGATCTTGTCCAGCCTTGAGATGTCATACCTGGACTTACTCATTTATAGGATGAATTCCTGTAGCATGAAAGCCTGCAACATTGTTTTTAACAGATAGGCATGTCAACCACAGAGGTTAGCATATTGAAAAATCCCTCCTTGCTAAGGGGTTCATAACCTCCAGTGCCTTGTATGAACTTCAACAGTTTTTGTCATAATTAAGACTTGACAGAATAAAGCATGCCATGTCTAAGGGTTGAAGGACATCTGTAAAGTTTGGCAGCAGTCCCAGGATTGTTGAGTTATTTTCTGCTGCCAATTCAACAGTTGCAAGTTAAGTATTCATGAATTTGCATTTTAACATATAGCCAATATTGCATTTGGCTGCAGATATGTGGAGAGATGCTCCCACATCTATTTCCTGGAATACTTGCGTCATTGTAGCTTCATTGTAAGGTTTATTGATTTTTTTTTTGTATATGCAACCCGTGACTAATATAAATTTGTTTTATTCTTTACTACTATCAGAAATAAATTAAATGTATAGCTCTTCATTGCTCTGTGAAAAGAAAGCTGATGAGTAACACCAGTTATAAGTCCAGTTCCTACCTCCACAGAGCTGGTACATGAACATATAAAATGGTTATTATGAGCAGCAGATGAATATTATACTACCCAAATGGTCCATATATATAGAGCTGTTAAAAATTTTTGAACAATGGGGTAAGATACAGCAAATAGCAAGATTGTTTAAGTAAAGTTTTTTATTTAAATTTTGTGGCTCAACTATACAAGTTCTTAAATGATTTGATAAGAGATAATCAATTGAAGCAATTTTGCAGCTACACAACTATTGGGAGAGCTACAGTTGTGGCTTGAGAAATGGACTTTCCAAATACCTGACTGGAAGTGTGAATGTGTGTATTTATTACAATGCTTGTATAGGTAGTTGCCTCCAGCAAAATTAGTACTTTTACGTATAAATTTGTTCTTATATTCAATCAGGTAATGAAAGAGATGTGCAAATAGTCATGGCACCTAAATCCCATATGCCTGGCTTAAGGTTCTCTGAGCAAGATCCTTCTCTTTTGATGACTTTGCTGTTTATCCTATTATTCGCTGCTGCAGGGAATTTCAATTGCATTGTTTGATAACTTTATCTCCATTCTGCAGGATATCAGTAAGCTGACTCCTCTGTCTCCGGAAGTGATCAGCCGCCAGGCCACCATCAATGTTGGAACCATTGGGCACGTAGCTCATGGCAAGTCTACTGTGGTGAAGGCTATCTCTGGAGTGCAGACTGTGCGCTTCAAGAATGAGTTGGAGAGAAATATCACAATTAAACTGGGTGAGTTGAAGAGTTCACTTCATCTGTTAATTTTATAAATATATAGATAGGTATCAAATTGAAAAGCCCAAGTTCCTTAATTCACCTTATCTGTTAGAATAATGTATTTAAACTGGAAAACTGGCCATTGAACTTCATCTTGCAGATAGTAGGTACACCGTTCACTAAATAGCTCCTAATTAAAATTTGTGAATGAAATACCTACATATATGAAGTAAATATTTTCTGTTAGTATCTGATTTACAGTTGCATCGTCAATGTTTCCACACTTTGATTTTTTCAACACGGATTTAATAGGTAACAGAGGAAAGGATGATAATTTTATTTACTGATAATTTTTCACTCTGGTTGCCTTTTCCAAGCAGCATATGTTCCTCAATTTCTGACGAGTTTTAAAAAAATATGTTCTGCAGGATATGCGAATGCCAAGCTTTACCAATGCGATGGGGCCAAATGTCCGAGGCCAGGCTCCTTCATCTCAGCCAGTTCTCATAAGGAGGATGTGTTTCCTTGCATTCACCCAGGATGCTCAGGAAAGTGGGTATTGCCATGTTGTTTGCCATAGTGGCTAACGAAGGATTTTTTTACTTGGAATCGTATTAAATTTCATGATCTGCCTCAACATTTTATTTGATAATCTACGGATGTAAATATTGAGGGACCCTTCCACTCATAGGCAAGGTCAACAAAAAAAGTCTGCCATGTTTACTGCCTTGCTGTTTTACCTTTGATGTTCATTATTCATTTATTGTGTTTTCCTAAGACCAGAATCAGTTCATTAACTCATCATGACTCAAAGGAAGTAGTCAATTTTGTTTGTATTCTAACAATGGGTATCACACACGAGTTGATCATCAAAGCGGAGATGTATAGATGAAGTGTGGTTGAATCCACTTTATTTGGTTTTGCAAAGTAAGTCATCATTTCTTGATTAATAACACAATGGACGAAATTCTCTGCTATTCAGAATTCATCTGCCCGTAAGTTTGTTTCATCAATGTGCTTCTGTTTTATTTCTTAATCTCATGCCGCAACTTGTGCTGATAGCCTCGAGTAGATATTTTTAGCACATTTTCTCATTTATGGAAAAAAGGCGCCAATGTGCTCTCCATGTCCGTCTGTCCGTCAGTTCGTCCGTGACTTCACGTTTTCGTCGACGAGAAAACGCGCTCTCTGTCACTCACTGCAGTGAGTACCGAGTTATATTTTTTGATAAATATTAGTTACGGGTACTTGGTAGTAACTATACGTACTAAGCTTTGCATTTACTCAATGAAACCTGGTCTTCATTTCAAGGCATTGCTCACTTGTTCAGATTCCGCCTGCAGCGCCATGTCTCATTTGTGGACTGCCCTGGTCATGACATCCTCATGGCCACCATGTTGAACGGAGCTGCTGTCATGGACGCCGCTCTCTTGCTCATTGGTGAGACCTTGTTTATAATCACACACAAAAAATTATATTTATACACAAACAGGTCAAGAAATTACCATTCTTATTCCTAATACTCCGACATTCGTTCTACACTGACGATTCATGTAACATTTGACTTATCAGCCATTGCAAGAAGTTAGGCGTGAAATAGCTTTTAAGTATCACTCTATGTATTTTATGTTTTTGATCTAATGCATTGGAATATGGCTCCGATTGTCCTTAATTTCCGTTGTTTTATTACTTTTCAATATTTGACATCTACGAGATTCTTGATCTCATCTTAATTCTCATTTTTCAACCAGCTGCCAACGAATCATGTCCTCAGCCACAGACATCGGAGCATCTGGCTGCCATCGACATCATGCGTCTCAACCACATCCTCATCCTGCAGAACAAAATAGATCTCTGCCGCGAGTCTCAGCTCAAGGAACAGTATAAGAAGATCCTTGAGTTCACGAGAGGTTATTATACGTTTCGTAGCCTTTGTTTCGTACAGCAGGTAGAAAACCAGAATATGTGTTCGGTTCTAGCTCTCAGAACAGTTTACACAAGATGTACTTTATTATGTTTCACTTGATTTGCATTTGTTTTGATGGTGCCGGAATTAGGTACTTAATTGTAGAGAACAAACGAGGCTTCCCTATAAAAATTAAATTTTTGATTTAGTATCAGAATAGCACACACGATATATTTAAAGGAAGGTGTAAATTATTTCTAAGTATTTTCATCGATTAGCTTTGTAAGGTGAATTTTATGCGTGCTCTGTTCCTATGAGTGACCATATAAAATGGACGATTTAGACGCATCTTTTATCAGTCGATTCGATCTAATAATAGAACTCGTCTAATTTACTCAGCCGGGATTATCTCGCCTGCTTAAAAATGTAAAATTTTCCAAATTTAAACCCTAATTGTATTTTTAAGCAAGGATCAATTTGTTACTATTGTTTGGTATAGGCACCATCGCTGAGAACGCGCCAGTGCTGCCAGTATCTGCTCAACTGAAGCTCAACATCGACGTTGTCTGCGAGTATCTCATCAAGAAAATACCAGTTCCTAAGCGGGATTTCCTAAGCCCACCCCGACTCATCATCATTCGTTCATTTGATGTCAACAAACCTGGATGTGAAGTGGATGACCTCAAAGGCGGTGTGGCGGGAGGATCCATCTTGAAGGGCGTGCTGAAGGTAGAGCATGTTGAAAGCTATCTTGGGCGTCTATTTTAAGCGTAGCTAACGGGCGTTTTCGTGTAACTTACTAGTTACACGTGTAACTTACTAGCTACACGTGTAACTTACTAGCTACGACTAGTTGTTAAAGGCGTAAAATAGGCGAGGTTAAATAAAAAAGGCAACTTGAGCCTTCATGTAGAAAAGGCTCGGTGGAAGCCATAGGAGTTGTTTGTTTATGACAAAGTTGAGTTCTAAGTGGTGCACAGCATTAGAACAATTCTGAAGCCCTTTATTATTTAAAACAAACTAATGATTATCTAGTCATTCTAGTATGTATTAAAGTAGGTATTTTAAATGTTGGACTATGAACTGTAGATGTTGCCTACTTTAACATAATGGTGATATCTTTGAAAGGACTTGTTGATGCATTAAAGACATGTGCTAGATCGTTCGGTAAATGGAATCACATGCTAAGCATAAGTCACCTGTGTTTACAATCACTGGAAATCGGCTGCTTTGTGTACACAGGTTGGGCAAGAGATTGAAGTCCGGCCCGGGATCATCTCGCGTAATCCGGACAACAACAAAGTGCAGTGCAAGCCCATCCGCTCGCGCATCATTTCCCTGTACACCGAAACCAACGCTTTGCAGTTCGCCGTACCTGGTGGTCTTATTGGTACGTGTGCTTAGCTGTCGTATCCTGACTAAATGTTGCTCCTGGCCGTCTTGTAGGTGTTACGTTCATTGATTATTTTGGTATTGCAGCTGCTTTTATAGATTATTTTGTAGTATTCAGAGTTTCCCCAATGGGACGCTGTTCAATCTGTTCAATGTACTTGTCACAAGCCGCGGATAATTGTTAGATGCTTGATTCGTTCGCTTTTTCCAATCAGATACATCACTTGCATGTTATGGAAATTATAAATTGATTTATACAAAATTGTCTATACTTACCACTTTCGATGTCTTGAAAAAAATAATCATACTCCTATGTTGGATAAAGCAAGGCTATGAAAAAATCTAATATTTCTTGTCTGCTTACGATACACGTGTAACTTACTAGCTACGACTAGTTGTTAAAGGCGTAAAATAGGCGAGGTTAAATAAAAAAGGCAACTTGAGCCTTCATGTAGAAAAGGCTCGGTGGAAGCCATAGGAGTTGTTTGTTTATGACAAAGTTGAGTTCTAAGTGGTGCACAGCATTAGAACAATTCTGAAGCCCTTTATTATTTAAAACAAACTAATGATTATCTAGTCATTCTAGTATGTATTAAAGTAGGTATTTTAAATGTTGGACTATGAACTGTAGATGTTGCCTACTTTAACATAATGGTGATATCTTTGAAAGGACTTGTTGATGCATTAAAGACATGTGCTAGATCGTTCGTTAAATGGAATTGCATTCTAAGCATCACCTGTGTTTACAATCACTGGAAATCGGCTGCTTTGTGTACACAGGTTGGGCAAGAGATTGAAGTCCGGCCCGGGATCATCTCGCGTAACCCGGACAACAACAAAGTGCAGTGCAAGCCCATCCGCTCGCGCATCATTTCCCTGTACACCGAAACCAACGCTTTGCAGTTCGCCGTACCTGGTGGTCTTATTGGTACGTGTGCTTTACTGTCGTATCTTGACTAATTGTTGCTCCTGGCCGTCTTATAGGTGTTACGTTCATTATTTTGGTGTTGCAGCTGCTTTTATAGATTATTTTGTAGTATTCAGAGTTTCCCCAATGGGACGCTGTTCAATCTGTTCAATGTACTTGTCACAAGCCGCGGATAATTGTTAGATGCTTGATTCGTTCGCTTTTTCCAATCAGATACATCACTTGCATGTTATGGAAATTATAAATTGATTTATACAAAATTGTCTATACTTACCACTTTCGATGTCTTGAAAAAAATAATCATACTCCTATGTTGGATAAAGCAAGGCTATGAAAAAATCTAATATTTCTTGTCTGCTTACGAAATTAAAATTCCTCTTGGATCTGGGTTATTAGCGTAAGAACAAAGATTGATGGACTGACGCAAAGATATTGAAAAATTCAATCTATCTTGTCCTCGTGTAAATTAAAAAATATAACTCAGTACTTACTGCAGTGAGTGACAGAGAGCGCATCTTTTCGTCGACGAAAACTTGAGGTCACGGACGGACGGACGGACGGACATGGCGAGCACAATAGTGCATTTTTTCCATAAATGAGAAAGTGCGCTAAAAACTGATCAAGTAACTGCGTTTCAGGCGTGGGAACGAAGATCGACCCGACGCTGTGCCGAGCTGATCGCATGGTAGGGCAGGTGCTTGGAGCCGTAGGGACGCTGCCTGGCATCTTCACGGAGATCGTCGTGTCGTACCTCCTGCTCACCAGGCTCCTCGGGGTCAAGACCGAGGTCGACAAGAAGGCGGCGAAGGTATGTTGCTACTACGTTAGGAATACATGTTTCGACTGACAACTTGGGTATGATTACGAAAATAGTGAAGAATGATGATTGTCATGCAATATTCATTAGCAAATAGTAAACATGTTTCGAACATTACCAGTAAAAACATGTTTCGACTGACAACTTGGGTATGATTACGAAAAATAGCGAAGGATGATGATGATGATGATTGTCATGCAATATTCATTAGTAAAATAGTAAACATGTTACGAACACTAGTAAAAACGTGTTTCGACTGACAACTTGGGTATGATTACGAAAATAGCGAAGGATGATGATGATTGTCATGCATTATTCATTAGTAAAATCATTCTAGTTTATCAAGGACAGATGATGAATCCTTAAAAATTATTGTGCTAACCGTGTCTATAAATTAGCGTATAGAAAGGTAAAACTTTGATGAAGGTGGCTCATTAATATTGTTACGAACAACGTATCATCTAATTTTTTATTTGACAAGTTTTTATTATTTGTAGATACTGTAGTTATGCGAGACTCGTCTGTAAATATCAAATTCTAATCTTATTAGATAAGCAATAAGGTAATAATGAGCAACTAGTGAATGTTTTAGAGTATTATTTAACTTATAAATACCCTCGCGCCAAACAAATGTTGAAATAAGTTATGCTCTTCAGGTTGATATGCTGAACAAAGAAGAAATGCTTATGGTGAACATTGGGTCTTTGTCGACGGGCGGGTGCGTCATCGGCGTTAAAGCAGAGATGGGCCTGGCTAAGATATCCCTCACGCACCCTGTCTGCACGGAGGCAAACGAGAAGATTGCCCTTTCCAGGCGGATCGATAGGCACTGGAGGCAAGTTTTGATCTAAACTTAGATACACGTGAAGTAGTTGCGTGACCGAAACTAGAGCGAAATATCATTCCTTCATCAGTGAAATATTAAAGCGATAAAACAGTGTAGGTCCAAGTAACACAATTCTTAGGAATTATGCACTTTGAAAATAATTTTTTCTCAGATTAAACAATGAATTAAATATTACGCATTATTGAATTACTAATGAAATGTTTCATATTGCAGGTTGATTGGCTGGGGTACGATTGTGCGTGGCGAAACAATTAAGCCACTGGATTAATACGACCAAAACCACAATAGTACATCAGTAAAATGGAGGAATTATTTTCTTCCTTTTTTTATATTATGATTCGCAATGCTTCCGTCATTTACCGCGAATATTTCCCTAATGACATCCGTAATAAGTGAAACACCTGTAAACTTATATTTATTACATTTATTTCTATTTCTCTTACGTTGTCTACATTTATAAAATAACCTAAACGTGATTATCAGTGACGTTTCAGCATAATGCATACTACGTTCTACTTCTCCAGTGTTCCGTTCGTAGCACCATCTTCGAGTTCCTTATTTTCAGATCCTGTCATCTCTTCTGCACGAGAAGACGACATTTCATAAACACATATTAAAAAGAACTTTGTCAATGGCATAAAGTCTAGTTACATTACATTCTTCTTTATTCACGAATTAATAAAGATTGAATAAATTTTTCACGATTCTGTTCTTCCTTCTGCAAGACTGAAGAATATATTTAGTTCCTGGACTAATCGCGAAATTTATAATCTTGATATTGGTCAGGAGAAAACTATTCAAGATCAGGAGACCAACTATTGAAAATTGAGGTTGCTTTTGATAATTTGGATTGAAAAAGTGTTGATGCCGGTTCCTTATGAGAAGTATTAACACGTTGAGTGCAGCACGACTCGCCGGTGGGTTGCTAGGCCTTTTCTGGACAAAATGCGCGATTTAATATCTTTCTCTCAGCGTTCGTAATGATGGCGCAATTCCTCGTTGAATTTTAGAAAGTACGAAAATAAAGGCAAATTAAGATTTTGCACCGGACTCCTCAAATTTACTAGTATATATTGAATAGTTGGCTTTTATTTGTCAGCGGACTTGGCCGTTTTAGGCCATCTGGCAACCTTGGTGTTTCGTGCCGCACTCAGCGTGTTAAGAAATTGTTTTCAAGCTCCTAGATTTCTCACCCGTCTTCAGGTTGTCTGACTTCATCTGCGAGGGCTCCTGTGGATTCGTAAAAAAATTACTTGCCGTTCTAGTGAGTTTCACTACATACTGCCATTAAAAAATGGATATATTACACAAGATCACCGGAGAAAAATGAAATAATTATTCATCAGATTATTTATCACAGAAAATATCGTGCTCCCAGTTATCGAGAAACTCTACACATGGCTCATGATTACGTACAAAATATCCTAATTAATATTTATTGCACATTATAAGTTAATTATTGCTGCGTTCAAATACTAACCGAGGAACTGTCGACGAGCGTTGCGTTGTTGGTGGCGGCTGGTCCAGACGATGATTCAGATGGTGGAGGAGGCGGAGGACAGGTGGCGCCGTTAGCCACAGCTGGTGCTCCTGACTGCTGTTGCTGCTGCTGTTGGCGCTGGCGCTCCTCGCCCTCACGCTTCAAATTTTCCTTCTCGCGTTCAACGAGACTCGCAAAATACGCGTCATCAAGCTTGGGAGCGTTGCTCTGTCGTCAAATATTAATGTGTTACGCAAACTTTGTAATGTAAGTATTATAGTTGGTAATTTCATGCAAGGAAATAATTTATCCAAACACTGTAGAGGGCTTTGTTAACAAGAAATGTGAGCCATTATAATCATCTTCTCTGGAAGATTTAAATCCACAAATTTTGCCCGTTCATAACGCTTTTGTCGACGCTATATAGTCACTGGAAATACGAGGACTAGCTCAAGTGAAGACGAAAACTTCACTTAGGATTATTACCTTGACTCGCTTGAGTTCAACCTGGAAGGCGTCTCCAGCTTCCAGGAACTTGCGCTTCTTGGCATCAAACTTCTCCTCAATCTGCAGCAGTTCATTCTCCAACTTTTTCTGTGAGGGTATTAGGCGTTAATTGAAGTGTTTTCAGCCACTTAAATAATTGTATTTTAAAAGCTATACGTTATTGAAATCAGAGTTTGACGGTAACGTTATTCGATGTTTCGAGGAAAGTCGCTAAATCCCTTCTCCCACTTGCAGTCGTATCTCCTCAGCACATTGGTTCACTTCACCGTTTTTTGTTCATTGTAGATTGACGCCCAATGAGTTTTTTCTTAATTTATCTTATCATTTCTAACACTCCAAAATTTTCACCACAGGATGAGTGACAGCAATCGTGAAGAAAAAAATAGAAATAAAATTGAAAAATACTCTGGAATAACCTGATGCATGACCTGGCTTTAGATATAAAAAGACAGAGAAAAGAACTGTAATAACACGGTGCACGGTTGTATTTGAAATAATAACATATGGATTTGAAATAACATAGGAAACGAGGTTTCAAAACCTGATGCATAGTAAGACTCTGGACTTGACGCCTGAGGACAGCGAGGCGCTGGGAGGTGACGACGCTGCGCACGTCAGGCACCATCGTGTCGCTGAACACTTCGTTGATGAGGCGGTGGTTGCGCACGTAGCGAGCATGCGACAGGTGCTTCAGAGTCACGCTGTCGTCGTAGTCTGCAGCAACGGCAACATGTTATGCCAAGACAAAGAAAAATATAACTCGGTACTCGCTGCAGTGAGTGATAGCGCATTTTCTCGTCGACGAAAACGTGAAGTCACGGACGGACCTTGCGGGGACCATTGGGGCTTTTTTTCTATAAATGAGAAAATGCGCTAACAACCAAGACAAAATTGTTATACATTATACAACAACCAAGACAAAATAATTGCAATAATGTACGTTGTGACAATGGTATAATAATTCGTCCTTTGTTCCATCAGCGTTTCCACGAAGGGGAAGAACTACACCCCATGAGAAGGGGTTGTGATTAATGGCCCTGCTAATAAGAGTTCCTAGGAAGAGGGGGAAAATGCAGTTCATATTCACACATGCGTGATATGTTCAAGTATTGGGTCTATACGTATAAGTGCTGCGTTGGAACATGTAGTGGGCTTAGCTGCTACCGAAAAAGCCGATGGATATGACACCGAATTAGCGAATTAGTCTGTTAAGTCCTCGGTAGCAAGTGCTGAAAAATCGGACGTTGCCTCCATCGATGTACAAGGGCTCGTTTTGACTAGGCATCTCACCATTACAAAGTAAAAATCGATGAACTACTTCTAGATAGTTATTGGTTTAATTAAATTGTTCAACTGATAACTAATTTAACCTCAGTTAGTAAGGCACTGCGGTATAGGCTCACCCTCTTCATCCTCAGCTGGCTGGATGTCAATACGGCGGTCGAGTTTGGTCGCCGTATGAGACGGTGTAGCAGCCGCAGCAGCACTGCGCTCGGCGGCAGCAGCAGCTGCATCGGCGTCTTCCTTCACAGCTGCAGCAGCACCAGCAGCAGCTGCACGTGAAATAATTCTGATTAATAAGGAATAATAATACAGAGAGCATAAATTGATATTCTCATGAATCTTGCTTTGTTTTGTAATAGGGTCGGCTAAGCAGATCTTGTCTTTCAAATCGTTCTGCATTATAAATTTGGTCATTTTCCATCCCTTCATCAAATTTTTGAACTGTAGAGTAATTTTTTAAAGCCTGAAAGTGCGAGTTTGTGTGGTTATTCCACCATCTAACTTTTGGAAATTACCACACTGAACAGCGCACATAAATCACAAGAAGCATCATAGCATACATAACTGCAAATTCATAACTCTTGAATGGGACATGGCAGCATCTCTGCACAGCAGTTTAGTGCACCTTGAGGCTCAGTGGCCACACAATAAAAAAAAACCCGTAGCGGACTAAATTTATTAGCGACTGATTTCTCGCCTTGTTATTGGAGGAGTCAACTTTAAAAGCTGTCAGTGATTGGCTGAGGAGTTACATCTCGAACTATTTTCAATAGTATAGACACAGGATTCTTACCTTTGTTCTTGGCGGCGAGATAAGCCTGGTAGCTCGGCGACGAATGGTAAGTCTTCATGGCTTTCTCGTAATCGGCCTGAGAGCGACACGCGTGGTGCAAGGCAGTGCAATACGTGAGTTAGGCCCGACATGTTAGTTCAAGCATCAACAACGTTGAGAAAATAACAAGTTGTTTACAAGAGAACCAAATGTTTAGGAGAGAACGAAACGTGGCATGGAAGAAAAAGAAACGTGATATAGAAGTGAACAAAACGTGGTATAGAAGAAAACAAAACCAGGTATGGAAGAAAACAAAACGTGGTATAGAAGAAAACGAAAACGATATCTAGATGAGAATGAAACGTTACAAAGAGAACGGACGAAACGTTGTTTAAGAGAGAACGAAACGTTGTTTAGAAAAGATTAAAACGTGTTATATAAAAGAACGTAATGTGGATTAGGAACACGATGCGTGATTGGGATGAGAACAAAACGTGGTATAGAGAAAAAGGGAATAAAGGCAGTTCAGAGAGTAACGAAATGTGATTGCGAAAATAAAACAACGCAGTAGAGAGAAGAACATAAGAAGATTTAGACCAATGGCGCAAAGTGGCATTTATGCTTTTAATTCGATATGACATTAGTGGTTTTAGACTACGTGCATTAGCAATAGTTGTTTAAATAAAGCGCAGTGTTGTTATTAATATAGATTTCGTAGGCAAGGAGATTACCGTGCTACATTAACATAGACTTCGGTGCAGCAGGGTCTCTTTTATAATAAATTGATAGGTGTGAAAATTATTGGGCTCAAAAACACTAAAATTGTGTCAAAAGCAACGGTGGTTGCGGGGTATAAGTTGACAGAAAAAGCGTCCAGGGCCAAAATGCGCGTGTATAGTAGAATATAATTTTAAAAATACAACTCAGTACTCACTGCAGTGACAGAGAGCGCATTTTCTCGGTGACGAAAACGCGAATTCACGGACGGACAGACATGGCGAGCACAATAGTGCATTTTTTCCATAAATGAGAAAATGCGCTAAAAATAATTAGGAATAGGAAACGATAGGTCAAAAAAGACAATTAATAGGTAAAGAAAATCAAGGAAATACAAAAGTTTGCAGTTGTCAGAAGATAGATAATCAAAACCGTGTGTGGCTGTGATGAATGAATGTAAATTAAAATGAAAAATAATCTTGTCACCGTTGTCAATAAAATTATATATACCACATATACTATGTACCTATATATTGTACATAATATAGTAATATATGGCACAATATAACCGCAATCTAAGTATAATATGAATTTCCAACCTTGTATCAAATCGAAAAGTTTAAAAATGAGTAGGAGACATAACCTGAAAAGACCTAGAAGGAAAATATTAGTCGACAGTTATGACTACAATCATCGGTCACACAAAATGTACATTATTTCTCGATACATTTTCATAACATGATACATTTCTTCATACATTGGATGCAGCTGTTGACACATTGTTTAGTAGCGGTCCAGTATACATACGTTTCCTCGAGCTTGTTTACGAATCTCAACACTGATGCAAGAAGTTACCTTATTTTGGCATCAAAGACTGATGCTCACAAGAATTTCCTCAATAGAATAAGAGAAGCACACAAATTTCTCTCGGCAACTAACATGAATAATAGATTATTATCATTAATATTAATCCTAACCACAATTCAACGTCGGTCATAAAAGCATGAACAGAATTTGTACATAAAGAATACTGGAAAAAGTTAGCGAGCTACTAATTTTCAAACATGCAGAGAGAACATAAGGAACCAAGGCTACGGTGTACGGGTTAAAAGGCATGCAAAACAACTTCTGCCGCGGAACTCTCAAAATTCATGACCAAAGTTCTGAATTGACTGTCACTTGAGAATTCATTGCCATCATATTGTAAGATGAGATTATTATGTGTTCAGTATCACATATGCATAATGCAATTGACAAGATTAAATAAAACATGAAACTCGCTGATGACAATGTGTGGTTAATTACTCGACATAGCAACTGTATTTTGAGATTTCCGTGTAATGAAGATATAATGGATAAATGAACAACTCACCTGACTCGCAAATAATGTTGGCCTGACCGACTTACCATAAAGACTTGTAGATTGCGTGGCGCATTTGACTCTTGGTTAAGAGTAAATAGTATACTGAGCGACATGTATTAATATGATACTTCCCAAATTATTATTCATTATTGTGCTATTCCTTTTATCATTAACAAAATGATCACTTTTTCAATTAGTTTTCACTGAACTTCTGACTGATGACTTCAATATTTAGACAGGAACACCTGGGACCAAACGTTACTAGACAATTGTGGCTTATTTGAAGATATTTCATCATATTATGAAAAAGTTAATTGAGAATGAACATACAATTTAAGTTATTGCACTATAATCACTAATGCTCAATTAGATAAAAATATTTTTGATGGCATAAAAATTTATTCTGAACTGACATCGATTCTGTCCATGACAAGATATATGGACAAGAACTAATTGTAACCAATTAGTTATAATTGGCCAATTATAATTAGCTTTACCAATTCTAACCAATTCTGGCACTAGGCATAAACTTCGTCTATTGACAGAAACTGCAGTTCCCAGGTCTTTAGATTAAAAGATTCAAGGCATCTTTATAGAACTTGAAACCATGTCTCAGGTGAAGTAAGGACTTTGGGAATAAAATATCCCAAAATGATAAATAATCCAATTTGAAGCAATGTATACAAATTTTAGGCAACATCTATGTGTTGTAGAATAGCTAGACGATGGCATAGAGAAAAGGCATGGTAATTCAAGTCTTGTAGAGCTCACCCTTAGCTTTAGCAGTGACGTATTGTTGGTAGGCGGTGGACTGGTGGTAAATTTCTAGGTTCTTTTGATACTCAATCTGCGGGATGCAGCGGGCAAGCAAAATTTGAAAATTAAAACGTAAATTTAATCTTAAAGAATGATGGTATGTAATAAAAAAGGAACAGTTCATCAATAGCAACACTTACATAGCTCGCTATTAATACTTTTAAGATCTACTGATTAGATTTTAAATGGAAACATAATCTGATTATCCTTTCTCTATAAAATTAAGGTAGGTAAATCATCTTTAAATAGCATATCGGTTACTCAAGTTGCTTGTATGATATATATAACTCGTATAAATGACTGAGAATTCGATGAGCTGACCCTGTGGATATAATCAAGCATTAAATCAAAGAAAAAATTTATCTCCCAAAGAAAAACATTATCCCCCCAAAAAATCAACTGCATTGTTTTGCATATTGAAATTAAATGTCCATCAATAAATTAAATGCCCATAAAGGTCGGAACTGAGGGCCAAATAAAATAGACCATCAATTCAACGTCTATCTCAACATAAATGCCAAATAACACAAAAAGAACTGAAAAAACACCAATTCACAGCAAAGTACAAACTTATTTACAACTTGGAAAAAAATAAATCATTAAACTCCATCATCAACATTAAAATGTCACAATGTTTGCACAAATAACATGCTAATACATTACTTACCATCAGATACCCAAAGCAACAAACAAAATATAAAAATTATGACATAAACAGCAAATTTTTTCAGACAAGTTTTTGGGATAGGCTCACTTCTACAAAGAAAACATAGATTACATTTAAATAGCTCTAAAATACCCATGTAAAATTTGTATGGGCTCTTCCCATACCCAACATACATCCGGGGCCATACTTTCAAAATTTGCTAAGTGAACATAAGTACTTACGCTCTATTTTCTTGTCTATGATTGGCGGATTTTGCATGAAAGGCCGTCAATGATTGGCTGATGAACTTACGATCTCTTAACTTTTTTTGAAAGTATTGGCCCTGGTAAAAAACATAATATTAATCTACACTCGACCACAAACATGGGAGGTTCAGGAGAAGTAGCAAACGTGTAAAACAAATCGCAGGAGCATGAGAGTTAATCTAAACAAAAAGCCAGCAATGAGAAAATATAATCATAGGAGGAATTAAGCAAAATGAGAAGCGTAACATCTTGCGCACTTATGGGATCAGACCTCAGTCTCAGGCCATTAGGTACATAGCATTGACCGTGTTAAATGTATCCATAGACAATAAGGTTAAAATGAACAAACACTCCTTATACCCTGAGAGTTTAGAGCAAGCAACAATCATACCTTCTCTGCTTCGTACTCATCCACAAAATCTTGCTTGTCAGCCTCAGGAAGATCCCTCCACATGCTCCCTATGATCTTGCCTATCTCCCACAATTTGAGATCTTGGTTGGCTGCCTTCACTTGATCCCACACCTGCAGAAAATCATTATATCAACGGAACTCCTGAGGGTTGATGAACCTTTCAAGCAATAAAAATTCGTTTTTATAAAACATTTGATTAAATTTTAGCTATAAAATTCATTTCTGTATATGCTTTAGAGTCGGCATTATTAATATCATGATCATACAATTTTTTCACAGCAATAGGTCACAAATTTTACTTCTCTTTTCGCTCACCATAACAATATTGGGCTCTGCTAAGGCAGCACAAGTTTACAAAATATCAAGATATATCGGCAAAGAAGTGCCACAATTTGGTTAAATGATATGTCGAAAATGAACAAAGTATAATTTCTCAACAAATGAAAATGTTATAAATGCTCTTACACTCTAGGTTCTTCTTGATTCTGAACTTTCAAGAATATTACTGCACTGAACATTAAAACCTAAAAAAATATTTATCTGCCAGAACTCCTAACAGCTTGATACATACAATACCTATCCTAAATTTGAAATTACAACAATTTTAGAAGCTGATGATATTGTAATCTAATTTTGGAAATGATTCAAATGCATTATAATAAAATATATACCTTCCTGGAGTAGCGCATGTATGGCATGAGGGGCTTGTCAGGTCCTTTGGGAGGCTTAGGCAAACTGCGTGAATCTGAACTGCCCTGCACACATATACAATTATGATTAATAATATAATAGGTAACAATTTTAGGTAAAAACATCAGTGATATTCATCAATCACTAAAAAAAATAGGTTGCATTAGAATTTCTTTTTCCATTAAATACTAATGTATGGTATGACAATTGCAACTGTTGGCATTTTAAAATTTTTTAACACAGAATTGGTATTTAAACAAGAATGTCAATGAGATTACAGTGAAAATAAGTGAAAAATTAACAATTCTCTGCTCCTAGAAGAAATGGTTAGAATATGCAGAAACCAAAATGAAGTTTGATAATAATAATACAAATGAAAAAGCATTCAAATTTGTTAATATAAATTTCTGTGCAACACACTTACTGATGAGCCCTTTGATCCGGAAGATCCACCCCCCATTTTCTGAGGAGCAAAGGCTGGGTTTCCATGGGAAGGGGTGGTGAAAGGGGATGGGACGTTGCTTTCACTTCCCACACCCCCGGCATTATTCTTGCCCCCCAAGCTTCCAGGGTTTCCTCCTGGTCGGTTCACCCGCTCTATACAGAAATTAATATATAATGTGTATTAAATTCCTGCGCTATTGCATAAATTAATTGAAAATAAACTTACACAGAGAAGTGGTTGGAATTTTTCCATGTTAGCAGGTTCAATGTTGTCATTTACCCACCCAAAAAAAGACATGCACTAGCCAAATTGTGCTTCACCCATTTATTTCTGTTACCATTAATTAAATTTTTCAGTATACATACTGATTCATGAGAAATGCAGATATAATGCAGCAATATATAGGTATCTATACTATTATAACAGATTATAAATTGTATTTTTAAGTTAAGTTAATTTGCCCTGGATTGTAGACAAGCAGTTGCTCATCCTGGCTTATTCCTTGATAGATAATATTAGGTATACTGTACCTAGGTAAACCACACCAAACAATGGTCAAGAAGGATGAAGAAAATTTCAATTTTATAACAGTGAAAAGTAGGAACAGCCACATCACACTCAATCATAGAATAGAAAATCTGAATGATGATATTAATAATTCCACACCAAGAAAATTACTTAATACCATTGACATCATAAGCTAAAGCATGCAAGAAGCTAATCAACAGTTCAAAGTATCCAGGTAAATAATTGGACACACAGTGCACAAATGGCAGTTTAGGTGTGCGAAAATTTTGTAATTGAATAGCGGACATTTGTAATACCGTACTGTATTATTCATGAATAAGCAAGTAGAAAAATAGCCAATGTGGATCAAATAATGCCAAATGCTGCAGCCAGCAGGAGAGACTGGGAGTCAAGATTTCATTTGTGACCCAGGCTAAAAAATACAACTATTATAATGAATGTCTTGAATATTGTATGGCAGTGCATCTTAACTATTATATGCATGAGCCTGTCAGATAGAACAATAAACTTTCAGTTCCTTTGATAATTATTGTTATTTATGTATACTTCCAAAAAATGTAAACTGTCTTACAGAAAATTAGCTGGCAATGATTTGAAACTTTGCTACAGGCTATAAACATGGACATCTACTCACCCCTTGGTTCAAACAGCATGTCTCTTTACCAATGAGCTTCTTATTAGTGCATAAGACATGTACCGGTATTGATGATAGTAAACAGCAATAAGTAGAAATAAGAGTTATGTGGTTGAATCTGGTGGTATAGTGGCTGTACAGGACCTCACAGAGGCACAAGAAGCTTAGGAACAACAGTCATTTAGTTGAAGTCAACTGGGAGCATGCAAAAAAGTATGCAAACAATGAAGAAAGGCTATTATTACTAATAAAATAAAAATGTTATGAAATATACACAAAAATAGAGAAATGGAATGCAGGATGCAAATAAAGACTACTACTTAATGAAAAATAAAACATAGACAGAAGCTGTATAAGCTATGGTTCTGAGAAAAGTAGGCGATATTATAGTGCAAACTGATGTCAATATCAATTAGTGATTTAAACCCAAGCAGGCAAGAGAAAACAGTTAGTTTAAGTTATTTGATATCAAATCATCCAAAGACCACAATAAATATTCGTACTAATTACAAGTCATGCACTGGTAACATAGTAGACGATTAGCATTCCAACATGAAAAAGTCTAGGTTTTTATTCACACAATATATGATGTTGTAATGGGATAAAAATCTGTTTAGCTAGCTGAAGATTAGTTGCTCTATTGAAGTGCTGTTAGTGGAAGAGGAGGAAATATGATGTTACCTTTACTTTTAGAGGAAGAAGAGGTTGTTGCAGCCGAGGCTGTGGTGACGGTTGCGCTGCTGCTGCCGCTTCCAGCAGAGGAAGAAGACACAAGAGAAGAGGAAGAGGGGGAAGAAGATGTGGTGGAGGAAGAGCTTGGTGCTACACCAAGTGGAGAAACAGTGAATGTAATTTCCATTAGGATTGTTGCTTGTAAAGGAGTGTTTAAAATGTATTCCTACTGCCTAAGGAATTCACAGAAAGTTCTCAGTGCAACCATTTCAATTGTGGTTTTATTTTTAGCAATCAGAGCATGCACACATAAATTGAATATTGTTTCCATCTCAGTGTATTTTCAATGTTTTCTTGGCAAATGAAGAATGTTTTCAATGCATTTTCTTTTGTAAAGACCTTGAGGGACAGTTATTCCTCAGCATTGTATCATAAAATCATGTTATATAAATGTAAATTGATAAACCAATTAAATCATTTATTCCTGCCCTGAAAAATACCAATAAAAAACAACAAACCCAGAATTAGATACCATACGACAGGATTGCAAGATGATATACCACAAAACCATGTACTTAATCCTAAATCAGGCCTTAACAAATTTACTACAAACAAGCTAACGTACATAAATCACAATATGAACTTACTTCAATAAACCACAAACAAACTAAGAGCAGCAACCATTGTATTCATTAGAATACATAGTTAATCAGTTACCAGAAATCAACTAGATTACAGACTTCAATCTCTACACACAAAAAATGTGCACAGCAAAATAATTGGATAATAATTTTGAGCAGAATCAACAAATAATAAAAATTTACATTCTAGAGTTAAGTAACCTTTCAAATAATTATTCAAAAAAAAATAAATTATTTGGACTTCAATCTCTAAGGTCAAGATTGTAGACAAATCATGAGAAAAAATACAATGAAGTTGGGACCCAAATTTACAAATAGTCTGTAGCTTGATGCTCAGATAATCAATATAATTGCATGTTCCTCAATTTGAAGTTTCTAGTACTTTATTCAGCTGTAAATTTCTGCACTGAATAAAGACTGGTTAACAAGTTTTTGTGGTGCATTCTGTTTGCATTTCTTTAGCAATATGAAGTAAAGTCAACTTATTGGCAAAAATCAATCATTTGGAGAACATGAATCACATAACAACAAGCCACCTATTTCAAATTGAAATAAATTAAATAAAAATAAATAATAATTAAAATTTAATTGAAATAAATTAAATTGTTAATGTAACATACGATGAACTCACGTGGAGTGCTGGGTGATGCTGCAATAGTAGATGACAACATGGCTGTCTGGCGATAATTTGCTGGCAAAGCCATAGTGGCTGGACAGCAAATAAGAACTTGGTCTAAGACAGAAGAATCTGTGGCTGAAGCTTTAGATGAGTCTGAAATGCATAATGTGAATTTTAATCAAGACCAAAATTGGCAGGTACCATATCATCTTCTATGTAAGGTACATTCCTGTAATAAGTGTGGTTGTGAAAGGATATCTTGAACAATGGTAATCATTGGAAACATATCTACTAAAAAATCAATTGTTTGCCACTAAGCAACAAAGCCGCCTAAATCTTCAAGAATTATAGCCATTAACACATGTAAAGAAGCATTGAAAGAGAAATATGTTGACAACGTCTTCTGGAGACCTACTGTCTAACAGGGTAATAGGCGATGGTTTTGAGCATTTTTGTTAACTTTTTACCATGAAACAGTTCATAAATGAGTTTAGGCTCATTTCAAAGGTATTTGCAAGGGCTATTGTATGGCATATTTGAAAAATTCCATATGCTTTTTATAAGGTGCTAGATGCAAAACAAAAGGGTCCCAAATCACCCCTGGGAATGGGGTAATCCAGGACACTTGCAATAAAACTCAATTTTAAAACATTTGAAGCATGCAAAGTGTACTGTAAATTTACAAGATGGCCTGTAATTTCACAACACTTTAATTGGGTCAAATGAATTCACTATAACAAAAAAAAAAAGGAATATTTCAGTGACAACCATCATATTTTTTGGAGAAATAAATCACAGTTTAGGTTAATTATTCTTCATTCTATGTTGCCTGGTGCACAACTCTATCTATGACATTCTGTGCACAATTTTGTGATAACCAATGATGCATTAATTTTTCATCAAGTGAAATTTTTTTCGCTGAGCTAGGTAAATGTACTCTAATTATTTTGATGTTAATTGATTTTTTGGTTAACTGGATCCTTTGCTGAGGTTCTACTGTAAATGAATTTTTAGGGGTGTCCCTTATTTAACCTGTCCTGCAGAAATGGCCACCATTTTTTTTAATGAGATTTTCAAATTCTGCCAATTGCGTTTTAAGGCAACACCTGCGTGCAACTTTTGTATGTAAAATTTGTATTACAGCAATTTTTTTTTTTTTGCTCCAGACCTTAGCAGAAGTACTTTTCCAAAATCTCACTTTCACACTTTTTTTCAGCAATTTTTTAGAGATAGTAAATGTATGACTTCTCAACTTGCTTAATGCATGTTAAATAGTAAAAATGTTAAGTTTATATATATACATGCCACTATTTTCAGTTGTGCAATATTTTGATTGGTTTAGCTGCTTCAACATTTCTACGAAATGTGGGACGACTGTCCCAATTTATCTCAATTTCCGCCCGTCCCTTAACACCCTGACACCCTGTTTTACAGTAACATGGTTCTCACTAAAACAGGGCTGGAAAAGTCCTATTTTTTCCGAAATATTGCAGCTCAATTATCATATAATTTCAGTAGGCACAAAACTTTGCGGCTCTAATGTCATAATTCTTTGTTTGATTAAAAGAATCGTCGTTTGCACTTTGCAAACATGTTGTTTCGTAAAATGTTCAACTTCCACAATCCACAGTATACCATCAACCGGGGCTACTTGGGACAGTTTTGAGCCTTTTTTTTTGTTAATAACTTCTTATGATGAAACATTTCATAAACAAGTTTAGGCTCATTTTATAGCACTTTGCGAGGGCTATTGAAGAGCATTGTCAAAAAAATTCCATATGCTATTCCTAAGGTGCCCGAAGCAAATAAAAGTGTCCCGAGTAGCCCCGTCGAACGGGGCTACTCAGGACACTTGCAATAAAACTTCATTTTAAAATATTTGAAGCATGCAGAGTGTACTCAAGGTATGGCTTTTTCCGTTGGATTAGAATTGCTTCCATTATTTGTAGTCTGTTGTAGTCCGGTTTGTGACGAAGGATTTTTGTATTTTGTACCAATTCTTCCCGGTTAATTTGGTGTTGTGGTTGTCCATGGCGTGTGTTTTTGGTCCTCCAGAAACTAAATGCATTGTGAGCCGTCTTGATAGGGTTGTAGTAGTCGTAGTGTTGCCTTCTTATCAGAAAGCTTGAGAGATTAAACTCAAAAGATATTCTCAATAAAACTGGCATTATTTTTAACCAAACATGTAATCAATATATATATCAAATAGTTAAAGACTACTTATAGCCTTATAAGAATTGACTAAGCTGTTAGCTACGTACAATGTATTGCACACTTGATGCCTCTGTACCAACAACATTCAATTTATTCATTTATTGGAACCTAATACACACTAAAGGCAACAAGTTTATATACCAATTTGTCATTTATAGTACATTTATACCTGTCTCTTATACACATCTAGATGTGTATAAGAGACAGGGGAACGGAATTCGAACATGTGGATGACGGCATTACGTATCAGTAGAATTTGAAG